GAACCCTTTCAAAAACACGATAAAGCAGAAGGATCTTAAAGCAGTAAATGCACAGAATAATATATTCCAAAAATGTCTGCATGTAATAATACGCACTGGTGATTTGACGCTAAAACGTTCGTTTCACATTTGCACTGCTGGATGTGAATTTTAAGTAAGCACAAACACATATAAGTTCTTTATAAAATTATAAATTAATTATAGATTCTAATTAAATTCATACTGATTCTACCAAAACTTCCGGTCATTCTATATGGCATTTTGGAGCTAACATTAAGTTGATTCACTGTCAGTGGCCTTAGTTAGGCGACGAGGATTGTGCCCTTTCCATTTGAAACTAAATATACGTGCGCAGCGTGTGATCTCTATTTGACAAAATTTTTACTAAATTTTTTTCACGCGTGGCATGCATTCTCTCTGGACTGCTTGTTTGTATCATTACGGTTAGTTGGTTTATTTGGAGATATGACCACATAAAAGAAAAATGACTACTCACAAGTGTGAAGATTAAACAGACCATTAGAAGTACTAACCCATATTAATTTTGAGTAACGAATTAATCGGAAAAGTGAGCCGGACGTACACGCTGACATACGGGGTCGGTGTGAAGGTTTTACTCATACGGAACACAGCCTGGACAGACATTGTAAATGGAGACAAGGCACAAGGCTATGGAAATGCACTAGGGAATAGATGTTCAAATGAGACACGGATGCAAGAGGCAGGTACACACACCGGGCAGGTCATACAGTGGCTTAGTGCGCAATCACTTGGATGGTGGGCCGGAACACACAGGGATCGGAAGATTCAGGATTAGAGGATCCAGCACCGGTGCGACGTGCGACCGGCGAATCCAAGTCGGCCTAGCGTTTCTTGTTAAGATTTAAGACGCTTGCCACTACACCCATCGTCGGGACTGGTTAGTGTGACAAAAGATGGTTACCAGCCGCGTTGGCTTGTTCCCATTTAAAGGCTGAACCTTGCTTTACGCTCCCAGTCCCCCTATGCTCCCCTGAGATTGTTTAGCTCACCAATTAATAAAACCTGCAGCTTCAAATTTTCTAAATTCGGACCCCCGTCGCGCTAACCCCGAACACAGGTCGATCATGCATTTCTGAAGACTAACACGCTGCGATGTCGATGCGGTTATCCGTGACCACTGCAACGCACGCCACGTACGTCTGCTGCTTTTCAACAGGTCAGTCTTAAATTAATTTTATCAATTACTGCAGAAGATCATGTATAATTAGCGTAGCATATGTAAAACTGGCTCTCCATGCTTTTTAGATTTTAATGATGACCTCGTTTCTTCTCCAATCTGATTATAGAAGACCTTACATATGTTATTCTATGACCCAACGCATTAACCGCTCAGCACCGAAAACTTTGACTTGTATTTAAGGTTATGCTTTTCTTAAAACTAATAAACATTTTATGATGCGCTCCGTATTGCGCAGGTGTTGATGCTAGTTTGGCGGCAGGCCACCTCTCGTTAACATCTAGAACTCTGGATCACTGTCAGCAAAAAATTGCGCATGGAGCCCTAGCTGCAAAACGGGTGCGATGGATATCGCAGTATTGCATTTATTTTATTTTACGTGGGATAATAAACACAACAAATTGAGGTAATTTTGAATTGCAAGTGTGAAATTTTGACACGTCTAGTGGCACGTATGTGGAAAGCCAAGAGTTCATAAGCCACTTATTATTATCGGGGAAGAAACAATCCATAATACTGACTTTTTTCTATGCAAACCATTTAGTGCATCTTCACCAACAGCGAGGGCAAACAGTTTCGTTAGAAGATATTATTATGATTTTGTTTGATGCACAACACAGTTTATCATGATGAGCGTTTTTGCAGTAGCAATAGCACTTCAGTTTTTCAAAGCAGTGCGAAAAATTGTTAAAAACACGGTATTGTTGAAATAAGGAGTTTTAATGTTGCTTGAAGATAGTCTTAAAATGATAGTTTTGTAGTGACCTTTTGCCTTTGTTTGCGTGCAGAGTGGAACAAAGGTTTTAGCATGCGTCTAGCACGTATCGACATCAAAGGTTAATTTGCGCACGATCCTTCTGATTAAGTAATGGCTGCATTGACATAATGTTTTATAATTCTTGAGATAATATTTTATCGCTTTTGATTTCATTACGTACGGGAAATTTTTTCTGCTTGTACAGATATTTATTGTCTGTACAATACATGCACAATTGCACCCAATCAAAACGAGCGCTGCAAAATTATATTTTTTGCCGTTATTTCTAATGATAAACTGTTTCATTGGCTTCGTTCATGGGTAACATGTGAAACTACTTTATTTAACTAACAAACAAGAACCATGCTCCTTTGGACGAAGAATGCTCGAATAGAAAGAGGAAGTCGGAAAAAGAAGTTGAAGGTTTTTGGAATAACGCTGGTATTATAACTGAAACTTTCACGTCTTAACATTTACGTTTTTATAATTTTACATTTTAACACTAATTTATAATTATGAATGTCCTGTCGGCCGCTCTTGTTGGTGCGAATACAAATAAATTTCTGTTGAAATTTCGTTTTGACATGTGATACCTTAATCATACATGCATGTTCTGGGTTCAGCAGTCGGCTTCCGCAGGCAATATATGCCAACATGTTATGATGTTTCATGACTGTATGGCAAGAATTCAGCACTGCTGCCTACTGGTGTGCACGGAACAGGTAAATTCGATAATTACAGTTGCACACAAACCGCATTTCACGCTTCTTTCGCCGACTAAGAAATCTTCAGTCTCATTGGTATCAAATATCTTAATTGGAGCATCTTGAATAACGATAGCGAAAACAAGAGCTTAAATTTCCATAATTTTGTTAAACAATTTTTTCCACAAGTTTTATAATTATAGGTCGTAGGAAATTACATTCACCTAGATGCCGGTCAACGTTGAGAATTATCGGAAGATTACATTTCTGCATCACTGCTTCATATAATGTAAATTATCATGGATAATAACTACCGCCGCCGTACGTCACGTGCGTGAAGTATCGGTTTCCATGTCACATACTGTAGTATGCGGTTGAAATAATATTGTAACGTATATCTTTGACACTAAAAAATAAAGGCATATAAAAATGGATTGGAAAATTACAAATTTGTAGTATGGCGTCTTATCAATGTACCTTTGCGATACCTTTGCATGCACAATTCCGCAAGCATCTGTTCATTCAGTAAATGGAATATCTTGGTGTTTATTACAAATATTTTAAATTATCCAAGTAATGCACAAAATTATTTATATATTTCGTTGTTTTGCAGCAAACAAATAATATTTTGCAATGCAATTTAATAGATTATTGCTGCAAGCGCTACACCACCTCTCTAAACCTCGTCGACGTACACGCTAAATCGGCACAGTAAAGTGACCTTTTAAACGGAATACCAGACCCTAGCCCCTTCAAGCAGTGGAATACCATTTAACACCTTACGGCGGCTGGCATAGGATTGGATTCATGTCCCCAGGATAGTTAGCCGGTTCCAAATGGAAGACTAGTGATTTTTTTGTTGTGCTACGACTAACAAATAATCCTAGTCGTTCCGTTTGGTTGCCGGCTAATATAGTCAACCCGAAGAAAAATACAAAATCATATCCCGCAAAATAACATCGTGTGTAAGTATGGAATGTGACGATTAAAACGAGTAATTCAAAACCTAAAAGAGAAAGCCTTATTGAATCGACGGAGAAAAAAACATTGTTCGGTATCCGAGTCGTCAGTATAATTGGTATAGTATTGGATTCGGAGTCGTTATAGCACAAATTGCAAAATAATTTGATTTCGACAACCTTAAACCCAAAGATTTCCATATGTGTGCAACCAGAGTATAAATAATTAGGTTAGTTATGGCTTTTAAAACTTACCCGTGTTACTAAAATATTATTAAAAACGGAATAATTATAACAATTGTAAAAACTTGTTACAGAAGCGGTATGCATAGCATGACCGTTTTACGCTTATATTGTTCTTTCCGCTGCTTTGCACGCTCTTTTGGGAAAATACTACCTCCGATTCAACATCGTTACCATTTGACCTTTAGGCCGCCAAATTTTGCATCCTAGAACGAAAGGCAAAATTATATGGGTTTTAAAAGGTAACTCATAGCCCAAAATATTTGTAATATTGCACGTATAATATTAGCGCCTACAGAGTAAGAACACTCATTGATCATACCAATTCAATATCCCTGATTAATCTAATCGAGGTTGTGCGTTTTTTACGGCCTTGCAGCTACGAGCTGCATATACAGCTAACACGTATATAAAACAAAAACTATAGTATGTGTGCAATGTGTGCACTGTGCTGTCTATGCATACTACAAAATTAAAGCGGTATAAAGCTATATTGAATTAATCCTAGGGTAGTGATAAATATTGGATTTACATGATCTCAGAACCGGTACTATGTAGTCAGGACCCGGAAGCACGAAATTCAATGGGTACGAGTAATACTCGTAGTTAATAATCATCACAGTTCACAGGAGCCGAAAGACATGTAATACGTCTTGAATCAAACCTTAAAACTGTGACCTGATAATGAACGGCGGCATCGACATAATGGAAAGCTGGAAGTTAGAACTGCTTCTCTTCTTTGTTTTCAAATTTGTTACGTATCTGACTGTGTCCAGAAGTGCCACTTATACAATACAAGTTCAATTCAGTCTGAAGGCGTTACAATGTTACCGAAAACATTTATCTGGATTTCCTGTTGAAAAATAAGAACTGATACGTACGTAAAATTTTTTTATTATAGATGATTACACCATTTTGAGAAAATTTGCATCCACTCAGAGTTAAACGTCTGCTGATCTCGCTTATTGAAGTCAACTTTATTAATTGTACCAGGTCTCACAATCTTATTTTTCTGACAGTGCTAAAATCCAGAAGATTTTAGCACTGTTTATTCTCGGATTTTTAATTCACGTGTCTATATTCGTGAATTAGCTAAAACTTAACCAATGCAAGACACGTTCTATCCCGAATAGTTGTAATTTTAAGCCTCATTTTCAGGACTGCTGCTGGTTCGTAATCTAGTTACTGTTGACAAATCTTTTTGAAAGCATGAAAAAAATATAAGTTCGTCAAAGCAAAATAGGAAATAAAGTGGCAAAAAATCAACAAATCAAAAAAGTGACTAACAGAGACAACATCAAAAGTACGAAAAATGACCTTGCAACAGCAAAACATAATACCTGCAAGAGAAAACATTACAACACTACGCTACGTTTATCTATGCAGCTTGCGTTAAACAGGTCACCGGAGCTACTCGGTCTCACTATCGAGAATCATGAACAGTATCATTAGCGAATAAATTATCCATAAAACAATGTCTTTCATTTTTTGGGAAGATCTACAAGCACTTCGACATATGTAACTGGAAACACTCCTGATTTGTCCTTGAGTGCTCCCTCAAACCAATTCTCGTCCACACGTTCAACCAGCGTAATCACATCGCCCTCTGCAAAGCCCAGCTCTCCCTCGTTTTCAGGTTCAAAATCGAACAGCGCCCGACAGCACGGCTTGGACTGCTGTGTCGAGCCGGCAGTGGGTGCCGTAACCGGCCGAAAATTGCTGTCGGTGGGAGTTGGGAAGTTGTCGTATGATGGATACAGAGGCGCTACAGGCGCCTGCCCTGGAGTCTGTACCGGTGCTGATGGCGATGAAGAAGCCGCACCGGCTGGCTGTTTGGGTGGAGGCACAAGGGATGAACCGAATGTTATCTGAGTATCAGCGGTCATCTGCTGCCGCACCGGATGGCCCACTGTGGGCGACGGAAGCGGCGAAGGTGAGCGTGCTGGACCTACGGAGTCAACAAAATTTTAAATACTTCTACCGATTAAAACGTCGCACATTTCTTTAGTGAAAACGGGATAGCAGAATTACAAAAAAATAAACAATCGAAGAGTTTTAAATGTTCATACCGTAACACAACCCACAGATCATCAACAACTAGTAAACCGTACACCGAAATCATAAAGCCCGACTCGTAAAGCAAAACCATCAACTATCTGTACATCAACTACGACCTGTAAAGCTGCATGAAGTTATCACACCAAGCAAAATTACAGCAGAAAAGATAAAATGGCGCATCATAGTATGAACGAAGATGTGCTCACAAGTTAGCAGCACAAGACCAGTCAGATTCACCTGGTAACAAAATAAAAGTGCAGTACCAATAAATATTAATTGTATTTGCCATATGCTTACTACTACGCAATGAACGGAGTTTTAAAATAAGATTTGTTGGAAACTAAAAAAATCTCAATTTTTGCCAAGCATTCTTTCCAAGTGACGAAACATCCCACCTGGTCACAATGCCAACTAACCGTATAAACGGAACAAAAAAGGGAAATAAATGGCACTCACGGTAAGAAACTGAAAAACAAAACCAGATCAATGGACAAAACCATTCCAAAGGGCACAAAATATTCTGTTAACAAAAATAACGAATGCCACCTGCTTACTTGCTGTAACTCCTCCACCCCATGCATTAACGTCCAAAAAGCTATCCTCTGGACTATCACGTCCGTTCTCATCAAATGGCGTCGGTGAATCCGTATTTCGCATAGTTCTCGCAGCCGGCTTGGGTTTATGAGGCTCCCGAGCTTTTTGAGATGCTTCATCTCGTCTGCGGAAAAGAACTGATGCAGAATCAGAATTTCAAAACCGTAGAAATAGAATAAAACAACCGAAGATGTTCAAATCCATCATTTTGAGGTCTGCTTACTTGCTATATAGCTGATTCAAGAGGCCTTCTAATATAGTTGCGTTCTGCTTGTGATATTCGACTTGGGCTTCCACAAGGGCAACGAGTTGCGAGATCTGTTCAATTTCGTTATCAAGAAGACTGTACATAGCCGTTTCAGCCAAAGATTTGGATTCTTCAAATTTTTCTTCGGCAGTTTTGATCTCCTCGTCCGTTACACCGCCCCCTGTACATTCATCCATTCATCATCACGGTAACCGATACACACAGTATAAAATCTCGATATCAAATTAGTAAAGCTAGTCAGTATTTATTCTCTGTTTTTTGTCAGTCTGTTTAATTGACAGTTGACAGGTCTCGATAAGGAGCGATTCTTGAATCTAGAGGCCTTAAGCAATAAACCCAAACCTGATACTGCAACAATTTGCAAATGTAGCACATATATATCTGCAATTTGCAAATTCTTCGAAATGCGACTATATGCTCGTACATAACCTGTCAGACCAGTTTGATATCTTGCAGCATCTGATCAGCCGGTTCTAACGTACTCACAAACAGGCTATCTTCAGACAAAAAATTAAATTTTTCTGAGAGGCGAACCTCTCTGACCGTGCCCTCGGTAACTAAATTATCGCAATTTACTTTTATCACAAAAATTCACCCGGAATTCTGAAGCTGATAATAAAAATTAACTTTCAGAGAAACAAAAAACCACCGAAGGAAATGAATAGCAAAATTTACATATGCACTGCACCTTCCGCTTGGGCCTAAATATAAACGATACAAAATACGCACCTCCACCAGCTTTCTTCCGCTTTTTACAATCAAAGTCCAATCGCCTGCTTTCCAACTTTTTCCGATGAAACTATTGATTAAATTCCAAATCAACCGTTCAAACAGACAGTCGTGTGAAGTGCATATAGTTACCATTAAATCTTTAATGTCCTTCGTCTGCAGCAGATGAAGTGGCTCGAGGAAGCTCTGCCGAACTTGGTCTTCTAGAGCATATTTCACTTCGGCCATTTGCCGATAAGCTTCTCCGGATTCCATTAAAGACTGACCTATTTGCATAAAGCATAAAGTTACCGCTAATGTGAAATAAGATAAAGTTTTTTTCCCTCACATAGTTCAGAAAATATTTTGGAACACAAACATACAGTATTCTACACACCGAAAACGGATTCGGCACCCAGATCCCCACCATATTTATACATGGTGTCCCCTAGTACGCCTTCCGGTTGGGGATATGCATGCTGTTTAGCTTGACCGCGCATTTTGGCCATCGAATTAATGGCATTCATTTTCGCCCTCGAAGCCGGATTTGGCTGAAGATATTCTTTCGTTCGAAGTATAAGATTTTCAATCAGTTCGGTTGTTATATCCGTTTTCTGCAAAAGCAAAAGACATTTTATTAAGGCTAAACTGATACTAGTACTGTACTTCGAAGTATCCATAAAGCAGGAACGGCAGCAACGATCCTGACAAAACTGTAATTAAACTCATCCAATCCACTGCACGGAAGTTAACATAGCGATAAAATGCTTAAATGTGTGTGACACTAACAATCACGCAAAACTACATAGAACAGTAGCTCAGGCTTGTAGTATACTTCGTACCGCAAGATATCTGTGAAAATTAATAACTAGATCAAGGCGGCACAAGTTCAAACTTTACATTTGTTGCAACTACAGCACGTACTAATATTTTTTTATAACCCTTCATTCAGCCTGGGCATTGTTTCTCTCCACCAGGAAAATCAAAACACCCAATTTAAGCGACATTTCTTAACGAAACTGCTATCCATTTCATAAAATTGGAAACGTCTCCCACATCATCCGTAACGACGATGGAAAATATTGTCAATACATACATTTTTTCACGAAAGAGCCTTATTTGTCTATTATGTTTGCCTCTACACAAATCTTGCGGTATTTTTAGCCAGCGGATCGATAAGTGGAAGACAAAGGCATGAAGCTATGCACGCATGTCCGACCCCGGACTATCCACACATCAGTACCGTCCTTTGTAAACATTTTTAAACAGTTTGCCGGTTAACAAGAAACGAACGGCCGGTAGCAGCGCATACAGCTACAACGGCATTGCACATCCCATCCGAAATATCAAGTGAGCTGTGAAAATTGATTCCATCGGTAAAAAAACATAGCCGATGCCGTAACATTTCCCTGCCCGCTATAATCCAGGATGTTTGACGAGCTGATCGATTTTAGCCTTCTCTATGAGCATTTTTCATTTTCACGGGATCTCCTCCACATCCTCTTGCATGTGGCACAACTAGGCACAGCAATGAGCGAACGGACCCACCCCGCAACGGAAACGCGTAGGTCTCAATGGCGCGACCAGAAAGCTAACATCCAAAGAGGATCACTGACGTGCGCAGCCAACCAGGATCATACGTAACTTGCCGCACACAAATCAAGAAAGGATTGCCGAACAAATCAACATCTCATCAACTACTGTCAATTTCCAGGGCGTACTTGTATGCGACCATTCTCATCCGAAAGGGTATGTACGAATATTTACTCTTTACCCACTTACCCGTTCCATTTCTCGAAATTCTTCGTCCAGTCGTGTCGGTTCAGCACTTCCCATCTTTTCTGTCAGATACTGAAAAATAAAAAATTAAATTCGTAATCATCATTATCTTTTTTAAATCACAAGACCAAATAACCTAGACTACAAACGCGTACAAACTTCCTGCGGCAAGAATATTGACTAAGATGACCACGCACGCGATGTCAATTTTATTCTTTGGCTCAGGGTACTCCTTCGTAAGATAGCCGCTTGTACATAAATTTACTTAGTTAAAAATTATTTTCGAAATATTGTTCTGTCAATCAAGACACATTTTATATATAAACTAAGTATCTACAATTCGGAAAACAGTCGACAAAAAGGTATACACCATTTTCCCTGATGTTCCATATTGTAACTTGGAAATACGGAGTAATCCGACTGCTTTTTCATTTTCAACACGAGTATGTAAATTTAATGCGCTTAAATTTTCATAATGTAGTCGTGCTTTTTCGTTCTGTAGCTTAAGAGGATTAGTATTTAGTAGCTCATTAAGAGGATTAGTGCATTTCTAAGAAACATTCTACTGCAACTAATTTTTAAAAAAACAAGTAACCGATTAAATACGACTAACCACGAAAATTACTGGTAATAAACCCTAAAACTGAGTATCGCCAGCTATTTACCAAGTTTCAGCGGTCGAGCCTTATCTAACCACTTCGTAAGTTCGTATGCAGGTTACGCAACTCGTATTAATAACCACGACAAATAAAACTAATTACTCGATTTTTTAGTTTTTCTGTTAATAAGTTTTTTCCCCAACCCACAACCCCATCTACCTCATTCTAACATGTCGGTGTCTCGAAGACATCAGCTTACACCGCTAAAGTAACAGTGTGCAGCATTGCATTTAATGCGTACTGTTTTATGAAAAAAGGATTTCCATGTCGAATATCAAAAATAACAAGTCAAGGTGCAAGGTCCTAAATCTCCATCTGTTGTCGAATCAGCAATCAAACGATGCACTATCGTCTACTGCGCAACCAGCACCATGTAACTCTAGGGTATTTGTTCCATTACTCCAGACTTTTACCATATTTCGAAGTTGCATGTTAACAAAATTTATATTTGTGGAAGCACCATGCGCATTTTAAATTTGATAGTGCTAGTTTTTGCCTGTCTTACCGTTAGCTGCGCAACAGTAAAGTGTGCTTATTTAAACACAGTAACATAACTCCGAAAAATTCAAATGGACGAAGCATTCAATCTCACTACAATATGCATAACAAAGCAGTCCAAAAACATTCATCGTAAAAACCCTTCCATTCTGTCTGTGTGTCACTCTCTCTCTCTCTCTCTCTCATTCAAAAACACTGAAAAAAGTCCAACCAAAAATTAAAAGGTCTGAAAGATTAACAACTAAAACTTAATCACAGCAGAAACCGTTTTATAAAATTTCTGTGTATCAGATCATTCGCAAAGCGTAATACAAAAATTGCACAGAAATATTCCGGAAAACATTTATTATTATTCAGTATTTACATTTTTCAGCAATAATTTATTATTATAAAGTCGAGGTTCACAAAGCAAATTCGACGAAAACCACACGAACAAAAAGTGTACTGAATCAAATGCGCAGTATCAGTGCCCGTACTGTATGTATGTTACAGTATGCATAATGTAGATATAGATATAAGGTAAACCAAAACACCGTCTAATAACTAATTCATTCAAATTTTGAGCAGCCACATCGTTCTATATCGCCAATGAAAATATATCCTCAAAAGAAGACAGAAACAGTAGCTTACCTGATTCGCCTTATTAAGCTGCTTTTTCAATCCAGCGAGCGACATTATGACGGTTTGTGTTGAATATCAGCTGTCAAAATCCAAACAGGAAACGTTATCCTTGAAGTGCTACTCGTGTGTAGCTCGCAGCTATAACGCAGCGCACTAATCCTGTGATGAATCAATCTGCAACAGAAATCGAAAAAGTGTGGACAATCAGTATGGAACAGCTGTGAAGAGCAGTAATAACTGTATCTGGTACATAAACAAAATTATGGCTGCGGATTTCAACGCAGGACCAGTACACTCACCAACAATCTCCCGATACGCGTCAGCTTTCTGGCCTGCTCAGAAATTCAGAGCAGAAGTGGGATTGCCGCAGTTAAAACCCAACGTATAACCAACTAAACATCCAACAAATAAGGAAGACTGGAGTGCCAGGAAATGATATATGAGGGTGTGTATCACAATGGAATTCCTTCTACGAGGAACAAACACTGGGACAGCACAGACTGCGTTCAGCTGTCGACGTCTGAGTGCGGGCGTACAAGTCGTCCGTACAAGTGTAGATGTTAGCAGTCGGCACGCTCCAATAAACTATATGACGCTTCTTCCAGTGTTCCGAATCTCCAGCCGTTTTTCCCCTCGGGACCAGCCTTATTATGGATTTTTTAATACGGCAGAAATCGCATAAAAGCTCTTCAGCTTACAGCGCGGTAAGTATAACTCTCTGTGTATTCTAATGTAACCAACGGCGTTCACTGCTAACGCTGTTGACGGCCGACAAGACAAGTTTCAAACAAACCACATGGCACGCTGTAGCTGTAAGCGAAATGCAACAATAATATTGTACAACAGCAATACCGGGTTGTCGGCGCTTGTCGATATCGATGGCACTTCCGTCTGTCGTCTGATGGCGCATGGAATGTTGTCAAGCGCGACCTGTGCTTCCGCGCTGACAAAATTCTCACCGGCTGACCACCATAGTCACCGTAGTGAGTTAATAATGTCGCAACCGGAAGTGCATCTGCCCGCTTTCAACTTATTAACAGCTTCTAGTACGTACCAAGTTTATTTCTTTAAAATGACCGAATGCCCAGTCTTGTTTACCCGTTATTACCAACCCAGTGCTGTATTTTACAATTAATTTGCGTGGGATTTAGTATTCACGTAAAGTTAAACTGTGTGCTATTCTAGTACTAGTACTGTTGTCGACAGCGAACCAATCTGAGTAACTCGAGGTCATGTCTTTTATTGTTCCATTCCATTCGTCAGTTAGTGCGCGCGCTTTGGTCGGAAATGAGAAAAAAACAATACTAAATAGACACAGCATCGGAACTCTAGCAGACAATGCTTTCAATGACGGGCACCAAATGCAAACTAATTTATTACAAAACAGGTTTATACAATCGTTAAAACCAATGTGGATATACAGTACTGTTAATTACCAGTAGTCACAAAACGAACAAAGATCATGCAGCAAGAACTCGACTGAACTCAGAACAGTAAACAATCACAACACAGAATCGGGTCATTTCCCGCGAACGTTTGATGCATGGCATTGCATGCAATCAATGAGGTTAAACATTTACGAATCCCTTACGTGCGTAAGAGGAACACCAACACACGATTACGGCAATAAACACCGCCGCATTACGGCTCCGGAGTGGGAAAGGTCAACACCGGAGTGATAACAGCGGCGTTCGAAGTCGGAGTCACCATGGTGGCAGCTGTAGAAGGAGCAACCACAGCTGTGGCTAACATCGGAGATAGTACCGTGCTTACAATCAGCTCGTCTCCAAACCCCGCCATAGTTTTATTATGCAAATTCGCATTGGCACTGTGACGATCGCGGCTTCTGACCTGCAATCAGAATTCAGATTAGGCTACCCAATCAACTATCCCGCATCGATTTTCTTCAAACATACCGACGGAAATGCTGCCCCGCATCCGGGTATCTAATAAACAAACACGCACATCAGCAACGGTATAACAATACTTTGCGTATTAATAATTACCTTGCACTTGTGCATCAGTCGCAAATGCACATTGGTGAAATGCGTCCGTACAGTGAAGTGATTCTTGAGAATCTTCCCACACTCCACACAACGGTTAGGATCACTGGGGTCAACGGGAATGATGACCTTTCCGTGCTCGTCCCGTTTGACGGTGACGTGCGGCAATGGCGCCGTGTCCATAGCTGAGTCACTCAGCGAGCAGGATTCATCGTTGTCGGAATCCTCTGCACCATCTCCCACTCCCGGATCGCTCTCTCCTCTCGCCAATTCCCCGAAGCGTTTGGGTGGCTCCACCGTGTGAAGTTCCTTCTGTGCTTGCAATAAGAAATCTGCGTCAACAGATTTGCGTTCATTTTTCACCAGATCCATCGGCTCATCGTGAGAACCGGTTCGTTTGGAAAAGTCCAGTGCCTTCATCGGATTGTGCTGTCCCGAGAAAAACATGTCGTCACGGTAAGGATCAAAGCAACCGTTGTGGTGCGGCTTGCGTTTTGCAATCGGTTCCATCCGATCGGTTGCCGAATTAGAGTCATCCGTCGCAATAACCAGCTTGAAGTTTTGTCCAATTGATTCTGGGCTGTCCAGTTTGAGTCCAGGCTGCTCGGCTTCTTCGTACGACAATGACCGATCGTCGTCGTCATCATCCATGCCGATATCACTGGGCTCCGGCTCGTCATTCTGCGGCGGCAGTTCATCGTCTCCCGACGCCAAAATACCACCGCGTCGGGGTTGAAACAAATTACTGTGCAGGCGCGGATTCAGGTTGGCAGAATGGCGATTGCGGCTGCGGCGCGAGCTGAACATCATGTTGCATCCTTTCACTGTACACCGATGCATTTCTTTAAGATGTACAGCACTGTAGTGGATCTTTAAAGCTCCCTTATCGCAGAAGCTTTTATGGCAATGATCGCAGTCTACCCGTTTTGTGGGCGTTTTCTTGGGAATCATATTGGCCATGGATTCCAGGGCGGCTGGCGTTAGTTTCTCCAGTTTGGGCAAGGCTTTCTTTCCCACGTGGTCGGTAGCAGCAGCTCCATTACTGAGCGGAGGCGTCTGTGGGGGTTTTTCGGCAGCCACAACGGGCTGAGGAGTAGTTGGAGGTTTAGGCTGCAGTTTTCGTTTACCGGGAATAGTCGGCTGGGGAGGGGTGGAAGCGGTGGGCGTGGACTGGTTCAGACTGAGGTTGAACTGATTCGTATGCGGCAGCGACATGTGCGTATCCGGTTGGACATGGATGGTGCCATTCTGTACGGCTCGGATAACGACGGGAGTGAGAGATCCGTTACTGTCCGCATGCACGGGCACGGGACGCGGTGAATTGAGGCCCTGCAAAACGAGTCCATTTTGGACAGAATGCGGAGGAGCGGCGGCGGGGGACGGCGGCACCAGTGGATTGGCAGCCGCGTTGGATTTTTGTTGGTTCTGCAGGAAGAAAGTCTGCAAACCAGACTCCGGTGGCTGTGCGAACACCTGAAGGTAAGGGTTGTCCTCTTTCCGCTGGTTGGCAATATCCTGGAGGAAACGAGTAGCCACAGCTTGGGTTGGTTTGTATTTCAGAAAATGTCCCAAAATCATCGTTTCGTCCACAAGCGTCGGATAGACCCAGTTATTACGCAGCGTTTTGTCATTAGCCTATAAGATTGCCAGCAAAGTCAACAGCAGAATATGTTACAAATATTAATGCTGCAGCATAATTGTGTAACGACAGTCCACTCTGCCATATAACCAACACCATGGTTTTGTTAAAATTAAAATAACCATATAACATAAAATCAATAGAGCACTATGTAAGATTATTCTCCACTCTTTGTAGGCAATATGACCTATATGCCGACAGTAAAGCAAAATCCAAAAATTATATTCGGGCTAAAAAAAATATGTAAGGGGAAAGATCCCAAAAAGTGCAACAGCGCTGTACCTGTAATTTGTATCCACGGTAAAAATCTTCCCAAATCCAATCAAACTGCTCAACAATGCGAATCACATCATCTGTATCCAAACAAGCCAGCAACCGCTCAAGACAAACGTGGAGGCGGAACGGGATGCCATGCGTTCCAAAAAGGATCAAACTGGCGATGTCGAAAACACAGTCGAACGTGATCGGCTCGTATTTCCGCATGTCCCATTGGTACACGATGCCGATCTTATCCAAAGCTGCAAAATTATTTTGACGCATTACAGAAACTTCGTTCGTTTTTTCTTAAAACTAATAAAATAAGTAATCACTTAGACCAATTAAGTGCCCAATTCAGGCACACTGCAAAACAGGGTTTTTAACTTTTTATGCATTATGGAGTCGACCTGCGATCCTGCACTAATTGCAAGAATTACAAGGCGTATTTATCTCTATTAATTTCCGATCGTCCAACAAAGAAATCCATAATACCGTGATAATTTAACTCAGTTCCAGACCTGCTGGTGAGTATCTGACTAAAATTGCAAGGCATAAACGATACAGTTCTTAACCGGTAACCCTTACCATGAGGAACCCAACCGTGGGTACAACTGTAACACTGTCGCACATTGTCCGGTGCCGTAGTGAAAGCGTCGCAGTGACATCCGGGATATGTACATCTGATTTGCTGAAACAATCATTTTTAAATTAGAACTAAATACAACTGATGCTTTTTAAATCGAAAAAAAAACATTAAAACAACAAACAATATCAGCAACACGAAGACTTACTATATGAGCATGATAATAATGTTATGTTATCTGTACTTCTATACACTTTTCCGAGTTGCCGCTTGCGATAGTGAACGTGGTCATAGGTTGTAAAATACTACAGCAGTGCTGTACACGATTATACTTAATTCAGGCAGGTATACGACCGGACAGTTTCCTGATAGTTTTCGGGCAGTTTTTCTATGTCGGTACGAGAATCGAAACAGAACGTCCAGCCTTACTGCTACATAGCCTGTACCGCAGTCTGTGCCGGCTGATTTGTGAGAGCTTTTACCACTTTATATGCTGATAAGGACCACAGCCACTAGCCAATACTCAGTAGTGCGTTTTACGCACTGCATTACTTTGTGCTTATGAATCTCCAAATTCCCGAACCAAAAGGTGCAGTCACTGCAGTGCAGTTCAGTCTCTAAACTACGCACCGATACGCTAATAACCTACGAAATCGGAAGTACGCCGCTTCCAGATTTATGGTATTAATTAAAAAACCACAAAAATTTACACAGAGGTCAAAAGTCAACTTGAGCAGCACGAAGCTTGGGCTTCCGGTACTCTGGGTACAGTTATGACCGTTACGCGCGCCCGACCGCAATGCCGACCACACCTGGAGTGCCAGTTATCGATGTTATGGTTATGCTCCATTTAGTATGAGTACTCACTACAGTAATTTGAAATTTTGGTCCTACGTAGCCTTGGTAGTAAATCCAAGTACGGTATCGATCGTCGCCTGCTTATCGGTGGTGACGATAGCACAAAGTGACAAACTAAACATTACGTATAAGAACGTCTCAAAATGAGCGAACTTTAATCGATCCATCCGCGACAGAGCGATGGTCGACTGCCGAGCACGTCGGCAGTCACAGACTGCACGCCAATGCTCGTGGCGACGGCCTGCACGATCAGCAGCCGGTTTCATGCAGCCATGCGCCAAGATATCGTGTTTCCAGCTGAGACTGCAACTGCCTACTAGAGTAGGGGCTTTGCTGCCATTTGAACATTTCACTCTGCGGCTCTGCCGACTAGAAAGATAAAGAGCGGTCCTATGCATCATAATAAGGCCGGTCGAAACCGGTTTAGATGTGCTCGGCTGCATTCACATTTTCATTCAAATAGCAAAAGCCTGCCATATTTCAGTTGACTTCATGCCGACATGTGGGTCTTAAGCGCACAGAACCACCATACGCTCCAGCAGTCTTTAAATGTCCTAGCCGGACGACTTTCAGCGGAAATGGTAGTGATCGCTACTCGTTCAACATAACACGTGCGATTGTCCATATCTGCAGTATATCGGCTAAACCGTATGGCATTTCAAAGTCCAGCTCTTCTGTGAAGGTTTATCAAACGCTTTAGCGGCCTTCGTCGTAAACTACAGTGTATTTACTAAACTGCATTGCATGCCCAAATCACTATAATGCAATTTATAAAGAGAATTTTGTCACCGCTATGTATGCACTTACAAATATCACGATTTTATGCCCGAACTAAAACTTGTCAAACACTCTAGCAACAGCGATGACCAAAACGGAATCCAGTCAAACAACTTACAATAACAACGTCTCAAAATCAGCGTACAAGCGCAAACTTTGTAGCAAAACTATGCCGACTTTTGACTTACAACGTTATTGCTGGTACCGTTGGACGTTCCCGCGTTGTGGCCCATTCCTGAAAAATTTCTATAATGTGGGATAACAACGAACGGTTCTTGTACAGTAACGACTGTCTGAAATACCAAGACTGGCAAACGTTGACACTAACTGCGCCACCGCTCTACTCTGCGTGCCCGTCGCAAGTGCACCGCGATCAATCGGTTAGGATTTGGTGACTACAAGACTTTACCGAACGACGCCGTCAACCCCGCCTTCACCAATCAGTGGCACGTAAACGTAAATAAGAAGGCGTTCCTAAAGTGTTACAGCCAATCTGACCAGCATGGATAAGAGTACACATGCATTACAACAGCCACAGGGCAGACCAGAGCAAGCAAGACAAAGGACAATAGCGTTGCCGATCTAGAGGGAGATGGTAATCCACCCAAAGTCCGGTTTTAGATCCTTCTATTTTAGCCGTGACAGTAAATGCATAGCAGCATTTGCCCTGTGTGCATTCGTGCCAGTCAGAACACAGTACGAAATTTATTGAAGAAGCGCGCGACTCCGATTCCGATAAAATTGTCGAATTAAAAAGCCGTAAAAACTATTGTGCTAGTTGCAACGTATTAGTAGTAGTAGGCTATGAGTACAGTACGTAATAAGTTATTAACGGTTCCCAGTTTAAGCGAATACGTACGGATTTCGAAAAATTGCTGCATTTTTTTTAATTGTTAACGTATAGGGAAAAGTTAAAACGAATTTATCGGCGTACTACGCAAGCAATTAGCAATGAAGTATATGATAAGTAACATTTTCTATGGTAGCCAACTCCAGAAGTCCAGTTTACCGCATAGTAGTCCATGACTTTGTCCACTACCTGCATTCTGCACATCCATGAAATTGTAATTGATTGATCAAACTTTGACAGGACTGCCGTAGGCTAATGCACGAGGACTTGTGCGCAAGCGGGGCCACAATTTATAACTATTTGAGCGGCCAGGCCATGGTTGCATTGGTTGGTGAGTGCTGACCACATGGGCATCTGATGGTATCGACCGGATTTCGTCCGAAACGAACTCCATGTGTATTGGCCACGAGCAGCACGCCGCTATAGCTCCGCATATCTCAGGCTATCTCGCACTAACGTCGTGTTATTGTGACAAAGCAGAGTGAATTCGATGGCAGAGAGACGAGAGGCCGGTTTGGCGGTTTCCCTCGTCTGTTTAAGAAGGAAACACTTTGACTGGCAGCTGTGTCCCACCAGAAATTCTGTGTCCACATTCGACAAGTCAAACTTCGCAAATTAATATATGCAGTGAGTAATCTGGATGACAGAAATTCGGACCAAGACTGGACTGACTGGTCCGAGAGAGGTCCACCAGATCCGTTTACCTGTTATCCGCGCTACAGCTTAATTATTAGGCAACACCGGTAAAAAGTTTCGTCTATGAGATAACTAATTAATACTTTAGAATTAACATTTTTTTTCAAGCGCTGGAAGAAATCACTAACAGCCAGTACAAATTAAGTACTTACCTTGTATTTGCAGCATATCCATATTAACTGCTATTGTGATGTCGTAACAGCGTTTCCCACACCTAACTGTAAGAGGCACGGAGGCACCGGAAGTGGCTGGACACAGGCAAGTGATAAAATCTGGCCACTTCAGTGATTATATTAGCACGTTTTGGATTAGTGGGAATTACAATCTGCAAATTGAAATTGCACATAATTAGGGAACTAACTGGAGAAGTGTCGGGCAGCTCCTTTTTAACCTCAAGCATTTTAGTTTTGTTGGCCACGACTAAACCACGACTGGTTTACTCTAAGCACTCGCTTTTTAATTTTCAGGGAGTCGAAGAGTTTGGGTGATTTTATTTACGAGTAAAAGCCACGACTGGTTTACTCTAAGCACTCGCTTTTTAATTTTCAGGGAGTCGAAGAGTTTGCAGGGTGATTTTATTTTGTGTTTTTTAATTAGGAAGTTGAGTGACCGTGCTTGCATTTGTCGTTACTTAGGTAGCTACTGTGCAATAAATTCAAATCGCAATAAAATTACCAAGTTAATGCTGCATACAGTTATTGTGCTGCTAAATTTACCTACCTTTTTTAACCAATAATGTTTAATTTGCCAACTGCGCATAACGACACAACGTTCGGCACTATATGAATAATAAGCAAAAATTGCCGTGTATGTCTTCGACACTTTGTGCGACGACGCGGTGCTTTTACAGCAGCGGACAGTAAAACAAAGTTACATACATTTTTAACTCGACTGTATGTGCAACTATAAGTGACTTATAACCAAACCACGGCGAACAGCGCTTTCGGCTTTTAAATTAATTTGTACCGCTGTTGTGTACTGCACTCCAACAGAAAAAGTAGTGCGAACTCAATATCGACACATCGACAGGCACTGTCCGGTTCGTCCCTACTTCCTCAACAGGTTTATTGTCCCCAATACATTAAAGGTTAACAATATTAAAATAATTATGTAGTGACTTATACATTGGCACTATGCGGCCCGTGGCCGGAACGTGCAAACGGATTCACAGCAACCAACAAATAAACAAAATAAATAGATCAAATAGACAGGATGACCCTTTGGCACTCTCGCACGCATACAGTATGTTTCCCAGCAACATCGCATACTTCTACAGTTCTACTGTGTGTATCGGTGTGAATAAGTTGTGGTGGTACTAGTGTATCACAGCATCAGTGCTTCTCAGCATATTTTGTTACTGATAGTGAAAAATCTGACTGAAGACAAAGCCCTTAATAGATCACGCAATACCAGACGTTTTTTGCGCGTAAAAATTAAGTATGAAAGTACCCTTTACGCAGGCAACATGTTCTGTCAGTAATTCTATTCGTACCCCGGAGCCGAACGCCCACAACACATGGCGTATCCCCATCAACTCACTTTGTTGGAGGCTGGATTTCCTCCTCTACGTCCTGGACAGCTGCATGATTCGTCTGATTATTCGTCCAGCGAGGAGGATGATAGTCCGAGACATCGCGGTCAAGTGGTCGCAGCATCCGAGCTCAGCACGCCCAGTCCGCCTATGAGCCCGTATTTGGCTGCCACCGGTCAGTTCGGCTCGACAGCAGAATCAGTCAGTGAAGCCAGCGAAGCTCCAAGTCAACAGAAAGAAGAAAAGGCCCGTTCCCGACTGGAGGAAACCCGGAAACGAGTGGAAAAGCTCACTGAACGGGTGCGCGAGAGTGTAGAGACCATTATGGAGCGAGGTGAGAAAATCGACGATCTCCACGAGAGAGCGTATAATCTGTTCCATGAGTCTTACCAATTCAAAAAGGTTACTCGCAGCCTTCGCAGTAAGCTATGGGGTCAAAACAAAAAACTGCTAATCGGAATACTAATCGGAATTACGGTTTTCATCCTGGCTTTGATTTATATACTTACGCCGGCGGAAAAACGACCTTTTTGATCTATCGCCAATAATCTTTAGTGTTGATTCATGTAAGGAACGGGATCATTGCATGGCATTCCGGAATTTAATGGTGACGGCGATTGCCAGATGCGGACATAATTATTATTGTACGTATGTACGAGGTATTTCTAATAGGTAAGTACTCGTAGTTTTATCAGTAAGTAAGTAAGCAGGTAGAAGTTTAGAACTAGTATATCATGCAGTGTTTAATCTATTATAATATAATTGTTGTCAGTGTTCATACAAAATACCGTAGATCTATATACATGGACGCGCGGTAAATTAAAAACAAAGATCATGAGGAGTCGATGAAATGGAATATCTATATTTCCAGTGATGTAAGATATTTGTATTGGAGCTATAGCTACTTTTTATCAATGGAAAATCTGCATTGCAACCAGTCTACCGCCTTTCAATGCACTTTTGATAGAATAAGCAAAACATGCAACAGAGAGCCGGGTCACCGTTGGATGCCGGTACGAGGAACTATACATTATCCGGAGTTGGTGTAAACTCAATATCGCATTTTTACTGACTTTGGTCACCCACGAGATAACAATTAAACGGCTAGTAATAACCATTTTGATCATGAAAACGTCAACAGATTACAGAGCAGATCTGTAGTGGCAACTAACCAATCGGTTTATAGTTGCTAAAATTAAGTAACTAAAATAAAACAAACCCATGTCTTCGTCATACGGCAACAAGACAAATACAAATTAAAACAAATTAAAACGAGCAAATTTTCAGTAAAGAGTAAAACCAGGAATGTTAACGCAGACAATTCAATCTAGGTCACAAACAACCAACCAAAATCTGCAGCGATATTTATAACAAGAACTGTTTTTTAAACCGAATACAAAGTACAAATTCAAAATTAAATATTAACCAGTCGAGAAATATCACAAATACACGCCAAATCCACGTAACTTGCTATTTTTGCAACTCCCAAAACGTGGACGGTGTGCTGGTAGGAACTCCGTCGTCCATCGCAACGAAGCTACCCAACAATTCTATGAGATCCAACGCGTGCAGAGGATAGAGCGTCCATGGCTATACTGGCCAACTGCATATCGAATTCCACGAAAGCCCACCTCCTATTATGGCAGTAGAAACAATCACATAGAGCCAGAATAGTACCGGCCACGTCTGTAGTCTGGTGGCAGAATTCAACCTTGGTCCCGGGAGATTTAAAGTCGGAATAGGACGTCCAGTATTCCGATCTGGCTTCATCGTTGATACTGGTACACCTGCATTATTAAGTGGTTGATTAATTGTATCATGCGCAAAATAAATGTAAATGTAAAGCAACAATGAACTACGAATAAAATTTCGCAAAGAGAAATAACACATTCCCTTAAAAATCCAATTTTAAACTAATATTTTAAACTCCGAACTACCACAGGTCAACTACACTATCTACCGGTTCTTTGATTTATACCACACGCATTTAATTTACTTTGCGTTTGTTCACGGTTGACGGTTTCACTGCTATTTCACCTTAATAATCGAACCATATACTTACGTGGAGTTCATTCTTACTTGGTAAATAAGCTAACGTTAGGTTTGTCGCTAATGTTGGACTACTAAGGGAGTATGGATGCAGTGTTCGTTAACGCTAACCAAGAATAAGTGGCCCAAACGCTAAACATTATCCCACGCTAGTGCGCAGGCATACTATTTTTAGTCTTCTGATGCAATACACAAGGCTAGTCCAGGCACATACCGGCAGATAATCCACCAGAATCTCCGCCGTAAATATGTATTCCTGGAAATGTGTTATCTTTAACGGACGGTGTCGTAACAGCAAATTCTTTTTCCGTCTTCGACGAACGGGCAGCATCTACTTCGGCTGCTGCTGTACTGGCAGCTCCAGCCTTCATTAATTCCTTACTGCGGCGTTGCTTAACAAGCACGTCATAAGGTGGCTCTTCTTCCGTCCCGTACATAATCAGCGTGAAATCGTACAAATTACCCCAACCTACTGAGCACGCAGACGTCATTTATTGGCTTCGTTTTGACAATGAACATGGTGATGTTCATGCCTACCTGAATTTCTTATCTCCAGTGTCCAATTGCCGTATGATATCTCCCCCCAATTAAAAACGGTCATAAAGGGCCACTGATGGAATCCCTGGCGATTGTTGTCACGCGGTCGTTGTTGGAGTAACGTGGAGCGCGTACCTGTATGCAATTTAATTAGATTACGACGGCTAATTTTCAGCTTCACCGACCAACCTTGAGGAGACGTCAAGTAGATCTCGATTTCGCCTCTCCGGGCAGCCGAAAGCGTCAGCTGGGCTTGTACATGCTCAAGATATTTGACATGCTGAGCGGCATCCTTGCAGCCGTCAGTCTGCAAGGTCAAAATCAAGCTGGATGTATCACGAGTCGATATTTTCCTGCAATAAATTAATTTTGAAATGACAGGAGGTGAAAAACGAACGCAAAACAAATTATAATTACATATTCCGGTGAGGATAGACAACGGCGCAACGATGATGGTCTCCCACATTAATCCATTCGCGAGCCATGAGGACCATTGCCGAAGCATCCATAAGGCCGTAGCCGAAAGAATGGCTAACGTTTCTTTGGACCCCATTCGTCACCCAATCAGAGCTCTTCAAGTTCGCCTGTCGAGCAGTTCTCACCACTAAATGATGCACATCGCGCCATCCCAACTTAGGGCTGCAATAAAAGCGAAAGGAACGGTTGCATTTCCGCTATTAAAAAACCGCGCTTTTGGCAGTCGAAAGAAATTCAAAGTAAAATGCATGTTCTCAGATAAAATTTTAAAGAAGAAGCTCGTACTGAAGCGAAAGATAAATTAACTACACCAATAATAAAAATATGTTATCAAAACAGTCACCTTCGTAAAACCTCGTAAGCAGAAGACGAATTTTCCTCTAACAATGAAAATACGACCACGAGACAACTAACCATAACGAAAAATAGACTATAGATTAAGTAACCAGAAGAGTGAAATTTTACAGTTATTTTTTATGATATTTTATGTTTCAAGAACGCCTCATATTTTATACGATTAATAAGTAGTAAGGATTTTGAGTATCCAAACGAAGTATATAACATGCGGACGCGTAATAAGAGCATAAATATGCTGATAATTTCCAAAATTTAGTTAGTCATTGGCGAGGCAGTAGCGTTTTATTGGTTTGTTTACTCTTACAAACCCAAACACCGCTTGCATCAGTGTCAACAAGTTATTAAATATGCTTTCTTTCACTCACTTTGCTTCCAACGCCAACGCTACAATTCCGGCAGCTACAATCATAAAACAGATCTGAGTTTTATTATTCTATCGTTTTCACGCTAATAAAACTGGTTGTCATTTGTGCTATACATGCCCTACCTAAGGGTGCCGAAGCGGACGTTCCCGTATGACTCAACGTGCATTTATGATGCAGATCCGTGGTCACGATCTGCCGCTCCATGGACGATCCGCTGGAATACGTAGTGGCCATGGTTGACGAACACTGTTCCAAATACCACGGAATATGGCCATTGTCGGTTGCGCTGCTGATGCTTAGAGTCTGAATACTATTTGTGTATCCATCACAGTTACAACTATCACCTGTAACAAATATCTGCAATCAATTTGGCGGCATTCAAGTCGTTTAGATGGAACAAATTTAACTTGCATTTTGCACGGCATACAAAACAACCGACAATTACAATTACGCTAAAAACGCACCTACACAATTTGCATTAGAACCGGCAAGATAAAGGAAACAGAAGAGAATAAGCCAAAAACTACCGTTTGTCGTCCTTACCATCACGTCCACCGTTACCGCTTGCCCACACATAAATGGAACCCAACCCTCCCCGTCCTTTCTGAACACCGGTAACAAACCTAAAATTGTGACAGGAATTATAAGTGCCATGCGCTAGCAATCATTTTCGAGGGAGCTATCTGACATATAATTTAAAAGCATTTCCGATTGCGCAACCTGCTCTCTTTTAATTCTGCCGGCACTTACGCTCTCTTTGTAAGGAACGCCGGTCCATCGACTGTGCGCCCGTCGTCATCTGGTCCCCTGTGACCAGACCACCAAATTACCATAATGTCGTTTTTATCAATACGAAAAAACTCCAATGCCTACCAGCTGGCACTGTAGATGTCAATATGTTGTGGATTTAATCCAACTAAACAGAGAAAAATGCTGAACATTTCCCCTTACGCTGATCAAGTGCTCGACATAATCGTCTAACAAGTGAACACATAATCGCACCTGACTGAGCTTCCACCGCATCTGTAACATCTCCATCGAGCATTCTGACACCTGAATAATAGCACAGTAGTCAATAGGGGGCATCAATTTGTTGGCCTGCATTAATGGTGTGTTTACCTCCAATTTTTGCATTGAAAGCAATGCCAACAACACAGTTACTGTTGTTGGCTTGCGCTGCCACTTCTCCCGCACAACGCGTGCCATGTCGATTAGTGTTCTAATGGAAACGCACAACGAAAACCAGCATCAGCCACAGTTGACTTAGCTGTCAAGTGTGTACATTCTTACACTGGGATCATATCGGGGCTGTGGGTCTTCATCGTGTCCATTGACATCGTAGCTAGCCAGTGCATCATAGTTCATGGCAATATCGGGATGGTCTTTCTCCAGTCCATCATCCAAAATTGTCACAACCACGCCCTTGCCGGTGTAGCCCATTTGCCAGGCTTTCTGGACATTCATATCCAGTCCTTGACCACGATTCTAAATTGACGAATTTCATTGAATCTGACAGGCATTTCCCAATCAGACAATTCTCAACGTCAATTTATTAACGTATCAAAACTGCATCAATAAAGCTGCTTACCAGATACCACATCTGAGGCCATTCCGGATCGTTGAAATTGTCATCCGACTGACAGTCGGTCTTTACGGATGGGCCACCAAAATCGCGCTTTATTCGCCGCTTTACGGTTTGTTGTTCAATCCAGTGAACCTACAAGCATAGGCAAGATTTTCATCGTAACTGCATGTTCACGTTTCCATATCTCATGAACTCTCTTGGGTATCCATTTTCTATACGAGTACGAATATATTGTTTGCATTTTCTTCCGAATCCTGCCCAAGGCAATAACCACAACACATGGCACACCTCATATGTAGGCATTTTTCGTTTAGGTATTCCAAATGGCGGCAAATGGAATGTTTATAGTGGAACGTGCTACATCGCTTTTCCATTAACTAGCGTTGAAGTAGTAGAAAAACTCATGTTTGGAGTAAGTACTTGCAGCCCACCGTGTTGCGCAAAGTGTTCACAAAAAGCGATTTATCGGACTGCAATTTCCAGTGCATCGATAAAGTAACGCCTCAGGATCAAGGATTACAGTGAATAGAGATCGATTAGCTTCGTTTATATTGCAAAATTGTTTGCGAGCAAATTACTGAAAACCCACTCGGGATTTCAGGCCAAATCGAACGTGCAGGTCAATACAACCGGCTAGATTAGCACAATTATCCAGTTGATACTCGAATACTTTTAAAGTCATGTTACCAGTCTTGTGACAACTGGATAAAACAGCACTGCTTCTGAATTTAAATACAGAGCTTGGACTCAAAAATATTAATCCCATAATAATTATGATAATAACAAAAAATGCTAACGGTCTGGCATTACCGACAAGATCGAAAAAATATGCATCAATCTAGATAAGATTCTAGGTCAAAAGATGACTGTAAACTAAGACTCTTAGGCAATTAACCAAAGTATGGAAAACAGCTCTCGGTAACGCAAAGTCAAGACTGAAGTCCGCAATTTTCATTCAAACAGAAGCTTTCCAAGTAAATGTTATACAATACTTTGGTACATAATCAAAGTACAGAACGATATCGTAGAACCGTGCAGCAACCGGCCACACTCCAAATTAATTATTTACTCCGTAATCACAGCAATAACAATATGCCTTACATTAGGTTCTTCAGCGAGCTCTTTGTGCAAATGACCGCTGCTCCTTTTTGATCGCTTTTGTGCTTTCTTGTGCGCAAGCAGATAATAATCATCCATAATCTGCAATCACAAAAAATTTTCGCGTTGTCTGGAGCATTATTAGGTAGTGGATCACTGGATATACTTTCTTGTACATACAAGTAATATTACAGTATTAGAGAGAATCAGAATTCTACAGTAGAGAATAATTATTGCAAGTACTTCATGATACCGTACATGCACCCTACGCAAGCATGTACTGTACAAAGGTTAAAATGACCATGAAAATTGGAATACGGCAAATACTGAGCGAAAACGATATTCATTCATAACAGAATGCCGCTCCCGGCAGCTTTTTATCGCTTTTGGTTCCAGAATAGGGAAGTATCATCCTCTAAGACAACAGACACTATTTTTGCAAAAGGACCAAAAGGTAAAAGAGATTTTAATTTTTTGGCACCGTCGAACATAACATCTGGATTAATTAAGCAAACCAATGGAACGATCACAGTATAAACCATGAACTGCCCGGGTTAGAGTCTCTCATTTTTTATTATCAGAGTACCACTGCACCTCTACACCATCTGGTAAGTAGTACTGTAGTAGTACATTATCTTAGACATAAATTACGGCCACACCTAATAATGACTTAAAAAAAGAGGGCAAGAACTCCCGGTAGGTGCGGCAATGTCGTAGCAATCTTCTAAATTACTGTATTAAACAACAAGCAATACATCGACGAATGCTTGCACTGCCGAACACGAAGTACTTAATACGTTCCGATAAACCACAACAGAGATATCCCGACGCGTTTTGCTAAGAAACATTTAGAACAGGTTACGCCTGCAAAAAATCTTTTACCACTAAAACTATTAAATACTGGAATCAATCGACCAATCCATGCGCGAATACTAATTTGGAAAAACAGTAAGGGTTATGCTGCGATTATTTACAATTAGTTGTTAATGCTCGATGAGGTGTAGACCGTGTAGTCGAAAGCTACAGTGTGTGGTCTGCGTGCCGGTGTTGCATGTGGCAGACACTTGTACTATATATTAATTGCACAATGATAAAAGTACGCTTGCTGAAAATCCGGCTCAATTCATTTTAATAAAATTGTGCCCCATTTTTCCCGCATAAAAAATGCATTCAAATCTCATGCGACTCGTCCCTTTCGGCTTAGATATACTACCATGTACAACTAGACAATGGAAAACGAGGATGATTTCTGAGATCTAATTACCCGACCGGAAACGAGGCTTTTTGAAGTTTCTTGCAGTGTGATAATGTTGCTTTATCTTTAACTTTTTGGAATCTTTTCCGTACGATGGTCAGTTGCAGAACATTTGTCTCACGCTCATAATATGGAAATCAAGAACAAGAACGAACAAAAAATCAATCAATCTGGATAACTCTCTAAGTATCATGTACTGTAGTAAAGGTTTCCTATACGTAGTTTTGTGGTAACCTGCATGTTATAATACTTATTCGGATGGTACGTTTATAAGCACTTTTAACTTGCAAGTATTGCCGGCATTCACGGAAATACTTGGAACTTTTCATCTAATTTAACGAAACAAATATTTTGACGTAATCTCTTCTCTCTTGTATCTAGACAAAAAACAAGTCGTTTGGGATGAACTGTCGATTTTCTAATTACAAAAACACAATACTGTTCATTGCAGACAACGGTATCCCATAACACTAATACTGGGGATCAATGCGAAAACCAGTAGCTCGAATGTCCGCCAAGTAAAGTCAGTCTTATGGTGCCATTCCAGGGAAAGCATATTAGATCATGCCAACAAGATCCACAGATCAAGATGCTAATACTAATATATCTGGCGCTATCTCCTGTGAATGCAGAGCGCAAAGTTCAAACGGTTATCCAATAATCAATCCGTCATCAAACCAATTTGATTCTACAGTATCTTTAAAGGGGATCAATATTTACTTCTGTATGGTTTTTATTCAATTCTTGCAAGTCAACAGCGCATTTTTTGTAACATTAAGGCGCCTACTGATCATGTTGCAAGGAAAACTGCGCTGCTTGAATACTTACATGCAGATCAGTGTGTAGTACTGTGTACCAAGAAAACGGTAAAGAACTCAAAATTCGTCATCGTAAATAACCAGAATTAATTAGTAATTACCATGAATATTTGGCAGCATTAATTTTGTAATCTCATACATACGCCACTATAGTGACAGTGTCAGAGCACAATATGGAAACCACATACTGTACGTAAATCACATTAAACTGCTTTTTTATTGTGTTTATGAGCTAGAGTAGACAGATTACGTATTACGAGAGAAATAAGAAATAAGAGATTTTTGCAATCTGTCATCGTGGGATGGTAAATATTGCAGTAAAAACTGGAGTGTGTATGTCATTTCTTATTACGATAAGGTAATTAATAATCACATGGACCTGTGTTGTGACGGAAGTTCTGTCTTGCGAAACATACCTGATTAATGAAATCGAAGCCAAACGAGGAAGCCAGCCGGCGAGCTTCCTTTTCTCCTCCAGTAACATGGACAGCCCATTGGTCCAAAAACACCACGGGATTCAGAGGGTTCGTGTTCGTGGAGCGCAGCGCTGCTGACCCGTTTGGATAAGTAAGAATCCTTTCTTGATCAAAAATTTCGTGTGCCGTAATCCGATATCTACCGCTATCAGATAAGGTAAATATCGCCAATATCACCCATAATATGTATCCACATAAATAGTTCCGTAGACAGATGGAAACAGCCCTGGGCACTGAATTGTACAACTTTCCGGCCCCAATCATGGCCGCAAAAAATAAGGATGACAAATTAAGCACTGCATTAGGTAAAAACCTCAAATCGGCTAATGCCACCACATCTTTCGTGATAGTATTTTTATAAACACAGAACCGCTATTGCACAAGCAAAACATTTCTGCACTGTATTATGGTGGGAGTTGGACGATATATACACAAGTAAAGCATCTGATATGACCGTGAGTTGCATCAAGGCGGGCATTCGTCAGTCACTGGAAATAATTGCCTTGGCACAACTATGCTCATTTTCATGGGCGTCAGTCAAAGGAAAGTTGTAGGAATTATGAATGACTGTAAAATCCACGTACTACGACCGCCGCTGTAACGTCATCATCTGAGCAGACTTGCTATAAATCAACGCCGGCGCAGTTCATTCGCGACGACTGCGTGTGCACACTAAAACAGAAGCAGAGAAAAAACTGTTATAGAAATTATTTTATGCATGCCGATCAGTTAAATCAGCAAAAAAGGACATCCGATCTCTTCCGGAAACAGCGAAACACAAGTGGGCAGAACTTTTCATGCAGAGTGCAATAGCTTATCCAAGCAGATTTAATCCGTATGCAAGACAGGTTGTTGTCAGCGTTTCTTCTTGCCTTGAGTTCACGTGAAGTTAAGCGAAAACTTATACCAGAGATTTGAAATCGATATTTACACGCGAACAGAGAAAGCCTAAAGAAATATTTATTAGTATTATAAGTGTTGATATGAATTTGCAAACCTACAAACTAACATCTGCTGTAAAGTAGCGGCTGTATAATGAACCGCAATATTATGCACCCGAGCCGAACATACTGCTGTAAATTACAATGAAATATAAAACTTCAGTGCACCGCTTGACAACTATCATATAATTATGTAAATTACTATAACATTTTGCGCGTGTACGAGTACTGTATAATTAGTGCTTATTAATACTTGTTCCAACAAAATTTCACATTTTTAATCACATTAGGAATAACCATTGCTCAGAACACAAGGGAATATAGGAAATCACCACTTTGAATCCTCATTGCCCTTGCAGTTTCTTAATTAAACACACCAAACTAACAACAAAATGCTTCAATCAGAAGTAAGCGCGAACGGATGGTTCGTTTACTCGATAGTACCACTATGTTCTTATTTTTAGACAAATTACTCGTATTCTTAATTGTTCTTAATTTCTAATTACAAAACACCACCAACAACTACTGGGTCATGGGTGCGAAAATTGTAAGCACTTATGGTTAGTAGTTTCAAGAAGAATGCATAATTATGGGCAACTACGTACAGTACTTAACAGAGGATTTCTCATTAGAAACGTTATGCAGGTGTTTTCAAGCGCTGATGTTCTGATGTTCTATACAAAAATAATTATATAGATGTTCTATAAAAAACCAGAATGTTTATCCCAAACTCAGTTTCAGAAAAGTTAATTTAAGATAGAAGTACACATTCTAGATGGGCAAATATATACCAAAACTTCAGATCTTTTTAAGCACGAAAGTAGAACAATTTTGACGAACAACGCGGAATCTCTACGTAGATAAAGTGCCAAATAGCAAAATACTAAACTCAAATTACGCAATCGCATCGTCTTTCTGACAAAAATAAAGATCGTTATGCAACAAACTATTCTTGAAACACTAGCTGTGTATCGGGCGCATCTCTAAACGTAATATTTGAGTATGCACCACTATTTTCTATTCAAATTTTGAAGATTGCAAAGTTTTCCTGTTTATTACATTTTTTAAAAATAAACTACGATTCCAAAAGTTTTCTTAATGATTGTAAAGCGCCTTGAAGAACATAAGGCGATAACGACACGGGTTAAAAATGGGAACAATTCACAGCACCCCAAGTAAATACGATTGTAATCTGGTAAACAATAGTAAAATCGTAATCACCATTGTTTTTTACGGTTTTGCCAATATTTACGGTATTGCGTCCATATTTGTTTCGTGTTTGAGCATTTGTCACACTTAACAGTAGTCTTTACTGCAGACACACTATGACTAACCAACAAAAATACTGTTTCAATTTTCAACTAATCTTTAACATGAAGCCAACTAAAAATACTTCTGCTATGAGATAATTGATTCGCAAATGGTTGAGACAAACCACTTATTTTTCCCTTGAATTTGGATTTCTAAAAAATTCAGTGAAAGGTTTACTGCGATGTCTGAGCACAATTGCTTTTGATCACTTTTTGAGACTCAAATGACAATGTCGAGACTTTTGCAACCTCCCTTTAATAACAAACAAATATCTGAAATACGTGCACAAAATATTAATTTTATAACTGGATCGGACTGACGGGAAATGCAACTAATGGACAGTTTACAACTAATCTAAATCTGCAACAGTAAATTAAGGAAATTGACAAACAACGTGGAGCGGATGCATACGTAAATGTACAACTCAAAAGTACCTTGTGTTACAACAAATTGCATGTAAATCCAGCTGCAATCCTTGCAGAATATAGGTCGGCTGAATCGATCCTTGCATCACTAATTACACCGTAATACATGCAGAAATTCCACATTCACGAACACAAAGGAAATGCGTTGAAAAGAGGATTTGCGATTGATCACGTCCGAGTTTAATTAAGCGGCGCAGGCTTGCGTAATACTCGACAGTTGCTGCAAGGTACCCCACGAATGCCGACTAAAACGTTTCTAATAGCAGCACTTTTTATCTATAGTGCAGTATCCTATCTGCGTAGCAGCAACAACTGCAAGCAAGGTAAGAAAACTTCAGCGATTAAGAAGTACCTTTGGCGCACAGCAAGACATGCCAATACAAACTGCCAGGGCTACGTTATTACAGCCCCACAGTCAACTTCTGCTCTGTTGGATATTAACGATAAACCGCTGCATGCAGCAAGTAAAACTTAACTCCGATATACCCTACTATCGGCAAGTGACCGTATGTGCATAATGCATACTTCTAGGCGTAGTGTGTAGGTACCGCAGCACACTGCGCACATTCGTCGGCGGAAAACACACTCAGCAACTGCGACTGATAACGCAAAATGACAAGTGCTCGTCAGATATTTCAAGATTCACGACACGATCAATAGGAATAGCGAAGTGGTTGGTTGGCCCAGCGGTGTTTTCCTCTTAACAGAATGATATTATAGATTAAAATGGCACCACCAATCAGTCTTCATTCGGAAAATGGAACTGAATGAAGGCAAATATCATCTTGTGCCGGTGCCACAGTCCATAACAATAAAAAAGTTACTCCTGTAATCGAAGTCAATCGTCTAACACTGAAACTCTCATCACTACTTTATGCACGAAGCTGAACGACAGGGTTAAAGACGTACAGTAATTATTTACTGGAATTGTTTACGACTTTCAAGACATCATAAACTGTTTTAAGCTTAAACATCGCTACAACCAAATTCATATACTGTACTGAAATCATAATTACAAATTTTAAGCCGATGGCGTGCGAGCGGTGCCGATTTTCAATGAAATGCGCCGGTGCCCGGCAGCACCGGCATTCACAATCAGTTTCGCCGGTACCATGAGCTGCATAGTGTATGCGCGCAACCGAAAGATCCTCTTTTTTTGCTACGTTAACGTTGTGTATAATTAGTCACAGGTGCAATTAAGCGCATCAGGTGCATATTATTCCCGCACAGTACCATACAGAATGTCCTTAATTAATCGTTCAAGTGAACGTTTTCCGTTGCGGTGCGTATCGAGAAGCGGATAATACCGGCATTAACTTTTTTTACGCCAGTTGCATATCATTGTATGCAGTTTGCTAAGCGCGCTAATCCGGAATCGATAGGTTCGCAAAAATTTTTCTCCGTGAAACACTAGCAATTCATTTTGCTAGCCTCTCCTTTTAAAAGGCACAACTGTTTCTGCGACCTACAAGACCAAAGTTGGCAAAAAAAAACATGTTTACACTGAAAAAACTAATTGTATGGAGAAAGAACGAAATGCAATGAAATGTGGTAAGTTTAAAGCGACTAATACACTACGTGGCCCAATCTCGTTTCACTCGATTGTATAGCGGCAGGTGCATAAAAAAACAATAATATAAATAATTTAAGAGTATCGTATGTTGTAACTGTGTGCCCTACTGAGCCCAACTAAATCTAACTGCAGCCTCGAGGAGGTTTATAATTTGATTTCTAACAGCACGATTTCTCACAGAATTCTGTAGTATTGACTGAAAGTAGTCAAGTTTTTGCTATACATACAGAATTCCAGATAGAATAAAAATTATATGTTCATTGTTGAATTAATTTCAAATAAAGCTCCTTATCCAGGATGAAACGGTCGGTCTGTTAAGTGGCAGTGATAACACCAATGCCGGCAATGGCTTTATGAAAATAGGACGTTTAATTTGACGGCTTTGAAACTGAAACTTTTGTTATCAAAAATAATATAGTACATGAATAGGAGCATAGTACATGAACAGTATAGTAAGTACTTAAACTGGAAAATAGTATAATACAAAATTTTTGGGTTAAAATAATTAGCTACACTTTTGTTACCTAATCTTTTCCAATACAAAAATTGTCCTTTTTGAGAACATAATTGATTTTCCGTTTTGACTAATCCCGTTGATGAAGGTTCAGAGCTCGAAAAAGGTAGGAGCAATCTTTTTGAAGCCTATTATCTGCATTTTAAAGACGTAATTTAAAATATTTTTCAGGTGAAATACTATAAAGCCGATCACCTGGTAAACCACCATAACAAAGATAAGCTCTGTTTTCTTGTCCAGGGTCTGAGTTCCAGACCCAGAATAAATTATCATTATAATTTAATCTGGGTCTGGAAAAACACGTTCATAACCCTGTGCGCACTTAAGCGGTATGACAGCCCCACTGGTATCTAAATTTTCCAAATCACGAATTTTACAGTTCGCTTAAAACACATTATTACAAATCAAAATAATTAGCGCTTCATAAACCTATTTACTTCATCATTACTTACTTCATTATCTTCCTACTACAATTACCCTCAATTTGCATTTTACGTTTTCTATATTCGCGCATGTATTCACGCATATTTCTTCCGATTAGAATCACCTTCCATTATTTTATTAAAGATAATAGTACTTAAAATTTAACGCAGATCTCTGTGCAAGAAAACTTACTAACCCATACTTGAAGCTAAAAATACGTACCACAGTCAAACAAAACACGGCAGCCTGAATCAGCACTGTACTAAAATCCAAACCGACCACCACAAAATAATCAACAGGAGAAAAATCTTCTTCACTGCATACTTCTTCAAATCCATAATAGCTCACACGCAACTTCTGCTTATTCCGGAATTCTTTCTATACCTACCGAACTAAAAAAATTCAGTCAACAAACCGAATCACCCTAACACTTTCTCGAACAACTTTTTAATGTACATCGCAACCTACTTCCCATATAAAAACCACCTGTTACTAAACATCCGTAACCATCAGATGAGAACATCATAGTCTGCTCCATTAAGCAATCAACTTTCTCGAACTTTCATGAATTTTTCACAATAATCCATTACCACCCATCACCACAACCCGTAATACACAACACACTCTGCTTCCTGTTACACTTCATTAAACTATGAAGTATGAACAACCAATAAGTCGAATACACTTATGTCAGACTACAGTAAAACCCCCTACAACCTTCCCTCTGTGACAACATTCACCCCTTCATTATCAGTTTCTTTCAAACATATCATCTTTTAAATTTTAACATAATCTACTATCCTATTAAATTGGTTACAGAGCAATTTCTGTTGATATTGTCTTTACTAACCGATACTTGTATCTAATATTATGCTCCTACAATAAGCTCCTGCAATATGCTCCTACATTATGCTCCAACCATTTTTCACACCACAATAATTACCACCTACCCCTTATAATCTTCGCATACAATATGCTCCTGCATTGTACTCCTACATCATGTTGAAGCATATTGCAATGTTCTCCTACATATGTAGGAGCCTATTGCAATGTACTCCTACATATGTAGGAGCACCTATATGTAGGAGCAAATTGCAGGAGCATATTGGATTACGTTTGTTTGGATACTACAGTTCCGTTTTTCTCCTTCAAGAACCGATGAAACCGATGCAATGTGCTCCTACATTATGTACGAGCACATTCCAATGTGCTCCTACATAATGTAGGAGCAAAGAATGTAAACTAAAAAAGATGCCGAGCTAACAACGCCATCTACAAGTTTCACGCATCGTTACTCGACTCATGTCACATGACTCAAGTCACATGACTGTTAGGCCCCACCGCTTCCTTCAACCGGCCGGACCCTTCCGTACTCTACGGGCGCCAAAAATTACTTTTGTTTACACACGGATATCGAAGACCAAAAACCGAAACTACAGTTTCATATATGCTACGACTGATTCTAGTCGTATACCGCATATAAGAACCTGTCACGGTTCAGTGAACCTGCCGCAACAAAAGCGTTATTAACGTTCCAGCTTACATAAAAAATCATCTTCCGCGCGCGCTCTCCTTTTTTTCTTTTGTCATACTCGTACACATCGCGACTACTGCTGGGCAATGTGCATATGCACATTTACTTACTCTCGCACCGGAAACATCACCGGAAACAGCTGATGCAGCAGACGCGCGCTTGGCATGTGGTACTGGACAACATTGTGGTTTGCCCGGTTTGGACAACCTGATAGTAAGTAAGTGCTGACCTTCTCCGGGGGGCACTTCACCGAAACGAAGTTTCCTGGCCCAGGTACCTGGTTTCTGCTGTCTGTTTTGAACAATACAGTTTTTTTGTGGAAGCAGTCTGATGAAGGGTTTTCAGCGACGCGTACATTTTTTTTCTACGATTGCACTTCTTATGAGAAAACAAACTGCGACCATTCTACTTCTGTTAGTGTGCGCTCGAAAGTAGCAGGATGGATTTACAGGACCAGTTCTTCGAAAATTCTTAAGTTTCGAGGGTAACTCTCAGCCTCAGGTAAACGGAGAATTCTGTACTTGATATTCACAGGCTTGTAACAGTTGTAAGCTTGGCGAAATCTTTAGTTTTCTCAGTGTGTCTATCCTGAAATGCGAAAGGTGTAATCTGCTATCACTGCCATCATGCCGTACAGATAAGTATTAAAATCTTTGGACATTGCTCCACAAGGCTGTAACCAATAACGCTGTCAGTTGTAGTTTTCTAAGCAGCTCGGACGATGAAATTCTAGCGCTAGTGGTTGGCAAATTCCTGAAACTGCGATATCGGATGACTAAATCGCCTGTAGCCCTTAAAACAATCGGTCCTTGATAGTTTTGTTATTCGCGTATGATAATACCCAACGTTTAATTAATTATTGGAAGCCCGTGAAAATGCGGTATGTTTCTCATTTAGGCGCAAGTGCCACATCACAGTATGTGGAAGCCATCAACAAACACCGCTCCATCTTCGGGAACTCTGCGCAGCGCCACGGAGCAGACGTCTATGAAGAACGCAGCAGGCGCTACAGCTGGATCAGCATCACCACTCACACAGACGTATCTGGCTCGCTTTCTGAAGATTTTGCAGTAAGTGTGGTTTTCCTGTTAAATGTGCAGTGGCACGGCGTAAGGCGGGAAGCGGCAATAAACGATGAATTTCATGTCTGATTTACATTCAGGCCGTACGAGGCCACCCGGGAATGGCTGCGGAAACGGATAGAACAGCAGGATTTCGCTTTGCTTGTGCAGGAAGAGGAATTCCGAAAAACGCGCAACAAGTACGAGCACTTATGTCTAGTTCTGGCAAATACTGCACGATTGTGCAACGAAAATTTGAAAAATTTGGCGCAAGTGTAGTGCCGTTTTATCCTGTTGCCTGTCGATGTCCACTGGACCGATATTCCAGTGAATCCAGTCTTAAAAATTAATTAGTTTTAAGCTATTGTTTCAAAAATGTTTTATTCCCTTCGAAATTACTTTCATTGAAAAATTTTTAATGGCATGAAATTATGGAAATCGCCCTTGTCGAAGGTTAAGATTTCCTGACTTCAGGTTTTTGCCTTAATTTGTAGCTTCATAATATTAACCATCAAAGCGATCCGTCGAGATCCTAAAATCTTGAAGTCGAAGTACGAGGATGTTTTCTGGAAAGAACTCATGTATCCCCTTATAAGAGGCTTGGCTGACAAACTCGAGGTATGCTGCTATTTGTACCGCGCTTAGCTGTAAAAGGTTCAATTTTTAGTTTTCATTTTACTTAGTTTGATGACAACAACAACGTTCAGTTGGCACTGCGGGAGCACATTGCTTGTGGACATGCAGCTTTCCAAGGATTTATCGAAGCTGCCTTAACGCGATTCAGTTTCCAGGTTGGAGATTTTAACTCCATTCCGGTAGCTCTTGAATGCTCATCTGGTAAAGCGATTTTTTATTTGACTTGCCAATACCGTTGTTGAATACTTTAAACTGAACATTGTTCACAGATTTGGGTTACAACGCAGACCAAGTTTCGTGGATTGGGGCTTTTCTTTCACGCTGTCTGTGCTGTATTGGCGATTTGTGTAAGTTAGTACGATTTTAATATTTATTTTTGGCCTCCTGATTTCAGTAAGTGTGAACGGCTCAGGAATTTTGCTTTGTTACAGATCGTTACTCTTACAAGTACAATTACAAAAACATGGTTCCTGCTTCGCAATATTACGAATTGGCATCTTTGACTCGTCCGTCAGATGGACGGGCTGTGTCCTGCATCGGGATCGTTCAAAAGGACATCGGCGAGCCTTTCGCTGCATCGTACTATTACCTTCTGAGGTTCGTTCTTTTCAGTAAAGGTTGTGCAGCTCTGGTCTCTTGTGTAGACAGCTTATTTTTAAATAGATTTTTACGTATGGCATTAGTTTTTATCTCTGTTGTGGATAATCTTTTGGGGTTGCAGTGCGTGCAAGAAGTCAAAGTACGGATTCTATCTAAAAAACCTGGAATCGATTCACGGCCAGGTGGAGGATTTATGCACCGCGTATGGAGCTGGGCTTGAACGACCCAGCATTGATCAAGATTCGCGGGAAATCATCAAGGGGTTCTCGGTCAATGTTCTGAACGTTGTGTTTTCTCTGTTGGTCGACAGTGAGCCGTAAGTCTAGTTGTGATTTATTAGTGTGCAAGTTGTAGAGCCCAAGACGTTGGGGATGTAATCACTTGCTAAGAGAATGGTTTCCTTAATCCTGCTTGATTATTTGATGACAGACCTCCTGAGAAAATCAGCCAGATATTCGGGATTTCCCTTGAATATCTGTCGGCATCTTTGCGACAACCTGTTCCTGACTCTGGCGAATGGAGGGATGCCATGTACACTAATACGACGTACCTCCATCCTGACCTTCTTTGGAAGATCTGCCTGATGATGATTGAAACGTTTTATTTAAAAAAAAGCGAAGGTATTGCGAGCCCGAATTTTTTCGGTTTGTGAGATTAGTGGGTTTGCTTTTGCAGCGGACGTATCTCGTGGCCAGAGCTTTAATTCGTTATGTGCGTTTTTGGTGACCATGATTGGCAAAATTACCACGTATGTGGTGCAATGTATACAGTACTGGCTTAATTACACCAGTTTTCATTTGATTCCGGAGCCTGATCCAAATGCTGTTGTCAAAGAGCTCTGTAGCCAATTGAATGTACCGAAAACTTCAGTGAGTTAATACAATTAATATTCGTTTTGCTTGATTTTGGTTACCGCATGTTTTTTTCTTGTAGGGATTTGCCTCGGTAGCTGGAAAGCAGAACGGACGATCGTACAACTCTCAGAATTTCGTTAGTTGCAACACTGCCTTTGATGACCACAGTATGTCGACAGAACCGAGAAACGGTTGTTTTACAGATCATGTGTAATTTTTGGTATTACTTTTTAAGCTGTCGACACCGAAAATTTGCTTAACCGTTTTGCTGAGGGAACTCAGTTGGATTCTTCTATGGAAACCTTTTGGTCCACGTTTTGCCAAGACCAGTCATCGGAAAAGCTCGACAGATTCGATTTCGATATCCAAGAGAGTATGAATTTTGCAGGTATGTATCTGTATAGTGAGTATTTTGACTTGAATACGTTGACAAGGTAGTAATTATTACTCTGATAACTATGCCATGTTGACTTTCGACGATATACGGTATTAATTTTTGGTTTGGTTGTCTGAACTTGTCTCGTATTAATTTTTTTATTGGATGGTTTGCAGCCGGAACCGGGCAGCAGTCATCGTATCTGAAAGCATTCGCGGCTTTCAACGAAACCTTGATCCATTTGCCGCTGGTACATCTCTTCTACCAGTGGATTCGGTGTGACGATGAGATGTGGACATTCTGTACCGTTGTACGTCTTTTTCTTAACATTTTAATTCTATACATGTATGATCTGAAATTAGGGGCATTGTTGTAATTAGGATTTAAAATATTTTAAATACTTGTATTTTCTCACAGAATTTCCCGGACGTAATTTGCAATTTTGTGGACATCATAAATCTGCTGTCGATTCCAAAGTTTGTGACTTTATATGTTAAAGGTGAGAAAGGTGTTATAAGTAATTTTCTTGTGACAAACACTGACTTGGCTGTCTGCGTCCTTAACTTATAGAGCAGAACATCGATCGATTTCCCCTTGAAGAAGAAATTTTGCTCCGTGAAACAGTTCTTATGGATAAATGGCTTAGCACGCTCGATTGGAACGGTTTTTACCGGCGCCGGTTGCCAGTTATAAAGATGGAAAATGTTTGTTCTGTTTTTTATTTTCCTCTTTTCATTGAAAATAATATTTCTCCAAATTTTGATAGATGATTCTACTGAATTATCGCTTTTTGGATATGGCAAATATGTTGCGAAAAACGGGACTTGCTGTTTTTGACTCGGCGAAAAAGAAATGGATCTGTACACTCTCTCGGAAAAATCTAGGAAATGAGGTTTGCGACGCCGCTATTTTTCCTTCGAAATTTTGTTAACTAAATAATTTTGAACGTGACCGCGACATTTTGCGCAGTACTGTAGTACAGGATGTATACTTACCTTAGATACTGAAATAGAAGAAATGGCGAAGATTTACATTTATAGGTTGTTCCGGATCGTCAACGAAAGCTTCTTGTGGCGCAAAAGTTGGGGAGAGCATGGTTTGCAGAAGAAGCCAAGGAACGCGAAAAAGAAGTCATGAATCGACGTGCCGACCTACCAAAATATTTGGTCATCGACACCAGTTGTTTTGTCAGGAAACTGGAGTGGGTTCAACGCCTGTATGCTTGCAAGCTCTTCAAAATCGTCGTTCCGGCTTACGGTAAAACTCACTACTAGCCAATGGATTCTTGAAAAAATTATCGGTATAGAGAACTAGTTATTTTTACTGGTAGTTTTGGAAGAACTTGACAAAGATAAGAAAAGTAAACAGTTTCGAGATGCCATTCGCTGGCTGGAAAAATCGACAGACACTAAGGATTTCAACCGTGTTGAGATCCAAAAATGGAAAGATATGCACAAATATGATGTGGAATTGCGTTCGGATTGGGAAAACATCACTCACAGCGAAAAGTATGTGATCGCGTATTCTTGGGTCTCATTACTCTTATACAGTTTTATTTGGAATCGTAGAATCCATTTTTACAGTTCTGGTTGTGAACTTCTGAATTAGCTTTTCTGCGTGTCATAAGATGTAAAGCTATTGTCGAGCTGGCAAAATAGTTTTAATTTTGTTATTTTGTACATGAAAGCAAAAGAGCGCTTTGTGGCACTAATCAACAATAAACATTGTTATAGTAGCTCGCTGGCAGGTTTAAGGCTTTGCTATATTTAAAGCAGTGTTATGAATGTGAAGTCTGCAGGTCCGTCCGTGTCATGGTGGATTGTGCCAAGTTCTTCTCCGAGGAAGTAAAACGGCAGACCGACGATAGCCCGGATTATGGATTGCATATTCGGGTTCTTACCGATCTGGATCTGCAGTCGGTATATTGCGCTCGAGTTATTGACCAAATGGATCGTCTGGAAATGCCACACGGTACAGCCCAGTATCCATTTATTCGAAGTATGCTAGATTTTAACGGACTCCTTCTGTTTTAGAAATCAAACTGATGAGGATTCACGATTTTATGGGATGGCTGGACGAAGGCCCAGGATATTTCCGTAGGATGCAAGAACAAGAAGACTTGAATCGCATTACATAAAGACTGATGCAGTCTGATAAGATGGTTTTCCTGGTGGAGATAAGGAATGGAGGTCGTAAAAAATCGCGAATATTTTGGATGAAACTAACAATTTCTGGAAGGCAAGGTGTCCGTACAGCGATCAGCTTTGGTGATCCTTGACGGTAATAAAGCGGGACAAGATGAAGGCGACGAGGAATGTGGCGATGACGAAGAAGAAGGCAAAAATGTAGAAAGTTTCCTCGTCGAAAATATCGGTAAAGGCAGGCAGTTTGCTGTAGAGGTGATCCGCCAATTCCAGTTTGTTAACTTTGGGTTGCATGATCAAGGATACTAATCTACTTATTAACTTGGGAAGATTTTGATAATACTATCGTTCTTTTCGATGCTTAGGTTTTAGATAGCTTTTAACGGACAAAACTGATGCAACAATTCTTGAGTTTATCTACGGGATTTCTGTGACACATTTGGCTGGTACGGCGTATGTTCCATCTGGTAAAAAATCAATAAATGGTGGTGGTTTGGCAAACGATGGCAGTTATGCTGACTGCTGGTGAGCTCATGCCGCTTGAACTTCAACATAGCCAAAAATAGAATCTGATACGTGCGATCCCAGCCAGTGGCATACAGTGCGACGTCGGTACCGCTCCGCAGTGGACAACTGGAATTGCGCCGTATGAAACTGAGGATTGAGTCATAATACTTATGGTCGTGGTTGTAAAAGTCAGTATCCTAAAAACACAGTCCTATAAGTCATGTGGAAAAAAAGGCGCGCGTCTGATTTGGTACAATACTCGAAAATTCGGTATAAGAGAATGTGTAGAATACTACTTATGCTTTCGGTTAGATGTTTCCGCATTTCTAACGCTTTTATGACTATATAGATATTCGAAAAACACACTAGTCAATAGCCACAATATTAATTTCCCCCGCCTTGGTCAGGCTGAGTCGGTCCACTCAAAAATTTTGTTTTCTGAAATTGCATGATAAATATTCTGGTGTTGGGAAAGTGTTACCAGGATAAACTACTTCCAGTTAAATTATATTTCAATAAATGGTCTTCGAAATGCAAGTGATGAGTGCTGACTTCCGTCAATTACCGTTGCTTCGAAGGGCTGATTATGCAGCCGATGAATTAGATAGTATCTGTGTTAACTGCTGGTCGACGCTATATATATATGGTAAGGTAAACTGTAAATATACAAATAAACAGAGTAACAGATGTTTTGGCAGTCAGAAATGTGATCGCCTAACATTTAGTTAATTAAATTACGATTAGAGTTTTTATTGAAAATGGATTCATATGTACAAAATGCGAATGCATCGTTGAATACGAAGGATGTCTCGCTTATTCCATCGCTTGAAACCTTTTATAAAACAAAATATAGTAGTTATTCTGCGCGCATGCGGTAATTATGAACTTTATACGCAGTATAAGAATGATGCACTGCACTGCATTCGAAAACCACGGCCTATATGAACTACCAGCAATTTGTTACCGTTAAAATGTGAATCATTGTAGTTAGTAGTGTCTACCAGCGTCGGCGTTTTTGTTATGTGGACAGTGGACGGGATAATGCTAAATAAACTGAACGATACTACAAGCACTTCGCCGCTTGTTGGTTTGCGACAACATTATTAGGACATCATTGATTTAAATCAGGAAAGTATATGAGTTTTAAAAATAGCGAAACTGTTTACACGGAAATTTACCAGAAATCTCCTAATGTACATTTACTTTTTCATTGTGCTCCAAAGAAGCAAACAACGTGGCTTGGACGATGTCGCATACATCTGCACAACAAGCAAAAATTTCCTGCCTGGAAGTTTACAAATTTTGAAGTAGGATGTGGTATTTAGGTGGGTGACTTTTAACCAATAAAAAACTGACTGTGAGAATTTTGCTACACAGTGGTTTGATCTACTTTTAGACTTTGTAATCGATTTACCATGATTGCGATTTGTGAGTAATACAACTGTCCAACTTTTTATTTCCAGACTGCAGATATTTGCATGGTCTAGGGTGTTCTACCTTTATAAAACAATAATGCAAAATTTTGCGCATCCTCTTGTACATAGAATGTTATTTGTTATAACTTTCAGTACCTGACGCCGCAGTTTGTACATACCTATAAGTTACGTTTATAATAAAATCCGCTACACAGTGGGTTATCACACCGTGGGTCATCGTCGGACATGAACACTACGAAATGCTGGAGCGCGCCGGGTGATAAAACGGTGTTAGATTACACCTCCTTGCGGAAGCTATCAATAGGTATGAAATCGCCGCTGCCAATTTTTCGCGTATTAATACTGGGAGCATCGTCCGTGGGCAAAACAGGTGCGGTATAAAAATTTTTTACGCTAGATGCAACAGAACGTCGCAGAAACTGTACAATACAAAGTTATGTTTTATGCTGTAGCTTTGATTGTACGATTTGCAACCCGTCGTTTTATTGGCGATTACGATTCCACTTCAGGTGCGCAACTTTTTTTTGCTTTTGAAGTGACAGCTACCAGCCTACCACCAACTTTCTCGCGCAGTAACTCATAACTTGTTTACACAAGTTATGAGTTACCGCGCGAGAAACTTGTCATTTAACAAAAAATATATTAAAGGTCAATAAGGATTAAGGTCACTCCCAAAAATTTTTGGGAGTGACCTTAATCCCGATTATTGATCTTTATTATATAATTTGTGTTAAATACACTATAATTCCTTCATACTAAGAATTCATAAAGCATATCGATTTTTCTAATTTCAAATGCTACAACGTGTACCAATAAAATATTCTATAGTACGATTGTACATGCTGTTACCTGCATTTGCAGAGCGAATATACCAATGCCAAAGAAGTTTGCTGGACTCTCAGCATGTTAACTTTATTGTTTTGGACCCTATTAGCAACGAGGTAGAGCATCTTTCTCATGCATTAACATTTTCGCGCTACTTCTTTTGGGCTGCAGTAATGTTTGTTTTTTTCTTGTAGTTCAAAGCCGAAAATGAATTTCGAGACCAGATTTTATGGGCCGATGCATATTTGCTTTTGTACTCAGTAACCGATCAAAGCAGTCTAGACGAAGTAGATCGTATGCGGTTCCTGATTAACTACACGAAAAGGTCGCGATATCGAGAAAAGAATTTGTTCTCCAGTGCCGGAGAAAGTGTGGCATTTTTAGTTGGTAACAAGGATGATGTCTTTGGTGAACGTATGATTTCCTACGAAATGGGTCTGGCACGGTCTCGGGAACTGAACTGCTCTGCATTCTTTGAGATATCCGTTAGGGAGTCGGTGGATGCCCCAGCCAAAATCTTCCGTGACCTTTACGAGACATGGAATCAAACCCAGCAGTATTACTCACTCCGTCCGCAGGTGTTAGCGCAGGATGCCTCCTCAAAGTTGCAGCTGCGTTCGCGACTGCAAAATAATCGTTCCATTTCGCTGCAACAGTCGATCTCTCCAACTTCGAGTGGTCGTTCCTCATCCGAAGGGGAAATTTCCCCACGACTCAAGCGCAAATTATTGCCGCACATAAGAGCAAAGCAGTTTTTAATCGGTCTTTCTCAGCAAAATTTAGAAGAGTATGGCGATTCAAATGCGGAACTGAAATAAGTACGCACCGGGCACCTGCAGTCGTTCGGATCTGGGAATATTGTTCTGGAGCGTCAAATTAAAAAAACCGTTCCCGATAATAATAACAAATAAACCTGCCAATTTTTATAAGGTCTGTTTTGTTAACTGTATAATCAAAAATTTTAATGCCTTTTTTACAACACAAAAATGGCCTTACCTTGGAAGAAATCTAAATACTATTTGATTGTCAGTTGATGTAATATATAGATCCTTCAATAAATGACAAGCGTTAAACACGTACTGCATTAATTGTCAGATGACTTGGACTGCTCATACAGAGCGGAAGAACTTCAGAACACCCATAGTTTTCTATTGATAATTTTTACAGTTAACCAAAAGCATCAAGATTATCGCTTCCACAGCATCAACGTCTTACTGTAAGTAAGTAACACATAGTTGGTCAATCTGTGTGTATGCAGTTTATAAAATTAAATAATTAACAAAAGATGTAGCGCAAATAATATGAGCAAGCACAGTCGCAAATGTCTGTCAGAGCGAAACATCAGCAGCATGTTGCAAATAAAAATTGCTAATCCAGAATAATAAACTCACTTCTTGGTCTTGCATCCCACTATTTACAGCGATAGAGACGGACGTTTTTTGTACTTGTTGGACTTGCCAAACATGGCACCGATCATTTTCGACACGGAAACCAGACCCAGTCCCGCTCGTCTGGGCAGTGTTTTGGGACTGCCCAGACGGATAGCTCGGATTTCGCGGAGGATGCTCTCGAATGCCAGACTGACCCCCATGAAACTTTCCGCGACTGAAATCTCGTAAAACTGGCAGCCGAACGTCTCCGCCACACGTTGACCTTCCACCAGGGCCACATCCCGACGATGCAGTAAATCCCGCTTATTACCCAGTAATATCACCGAAGTCAGGCTTTTCTCCTTTAACTTTTGCAGCTTCTGTAAGAGTTTAAAGGCGATTCGGAAGGAATCGCGGCAGGTAATACTGTACATGATGATGACGGCGTCGCTCCACAGTATTTGCTGTTCGTCATCGTAAACGGTGTTCACCTAACAAACGGTAAACCCTGTTAATACGAAAAGGCAACTACAAAGTATTTCGAGTGATGGTTATATGGAAGTACGAAAATACGGAGTATTCTGATGTTGCACGATTTACATTGACGTAAAGCAGATGCCATATCTACCAGTACCGGTCACTACCGGCACTCACCATTTTTATATGAAATTAGTGCGTTAACAAACGGTAAGAGTCCATAAGAGTACTTATAATACAGCGGAAAACGTTATGTATGGAATGCAAGTATTACACCTTTGCATTGGTGCAAGGATCCAAAATTTCCAAAGCAAGCAGATCGTTTTCCAGTTGGATGCCACACCGATACAGCAAATCTGCAAAGAATTGAAAGAAACAAAAGTAGTTCGCCAGTTTAATACAATTCTTGTTGAAGCGCATGGCGAGAACCGTTTATCGTCAGCTTCGAAGGCGTTCTATCGTTTTATATAATCACCGTTTTATTAGCATATTTCCGAGTAATTAAATACAAGAAAACCTTTTATAAAGTTTTCAGCGTTTGATTCGAGAATTTTGTAAAACTTCGTGCGTAGTGTGGGATATGAACGATGCTCGTATAGATTGTGGAATAGTAAAGTGCAGACCTTTGCAGCTGCGTTTTGTATTAGTATTTCCGGCATTCTAAGAGTAAAGCAGGCCGCCTACCACTGTAGCACGATAAACCAACAAATGGTTATTAATGTACAAGTAATTAATATTCATTTTCGCATGAGCATACGTTTTCAAGACTACTCTTTAAATGTCACGAGTATGAAATAAATTGTTGCTTTTTTCAATCATCAGTTGTCATTTTCTTCGTGAATCATCAGTATCCCATAAAAGTCGGGAAATTAACGAAATATGCCTTATATGCGCTTCACCGTGCCTAATTGATACATACAAAAATGGATCTAATTTCGGTTGACGGCAATTTAAAGTGCGAACAATAAAGTGGGTAAGCTTTTATATTTGATGAATACCAGAGGTATGCAGGTATGCACGTGCGAAATTGTGTTTGACGAAATGAGTTTCCCTCTATATCGACCAAGTCCGTCAGCACTTCACTGGGCTACACTTCACAAGGTTCACGTTCACTTGTGTAATCAAGAATAAGTGTTACCTCATTGATCTAATCCTTTAATCTCACAAGACACTTCCGTGCTCACTTTTGCTACCGGGATCATTTGTCATTAGCGCTTCTTTGCCTCTTGCATATCAATACATATGCACAGACATCAGTTAGACCTACGCATCACGTAAAGTGTTACGAACGTGTCAACGTAACCGGAAGGAGGAGAAACACGATATTCGCGGTGTATGCTATAAGCGTGAGTTTCTCTAACTGGTGAACATAAGTTTTGCAAAATTCTTGAACAGAAGATTTAATCGTTTTGATAATGCTTCGGTTTTTTAGAATCGTCCGTAGTATGAAGTACAAACGGCACACACAAGAAATTACCGTAATTTGCGGTAGCATTTTAATTGAGCGCGGTTTGAAGAGTTTAAAAAACAACTTCGTGCATTTAAAATTCGGTGCTCTACAGTATGTGGACGAATACAAATACAAACAGAGTAGAATTAGTTTCTGTAGCTAACCTGTGTCCGACATATATTCCCCAGGTATCGTCGAGTCAGATATCGCACAGATAGGGCTGAAATGTACATGCTGTTAACATCAATGTATAAGTAATATATATAAGTGATATATATAAATTACGCGTGTGGTTAATTATTACACAATAGTTGCTACAATTTACAGCTTTATTGGGTACGGGTTAATACAATTGTACGTAGTCCATCACATTAGCGTCAATAAAAGATTCAGATTAATATGAGTTATTTTGAGCGCTTATAAATATTTGTGCGTATGGTATTCACAAAAGAATATCTGCTGCAAGGCAGATTGACGTTCACGTTAGCATAGTTTACGATATTATTGTGAAATAAATAGTGAATCCTTTGTTGGGAATCCATGCACATCATCAAAAATTATACAGTAACAAATTGGTGATTTATATGGAATGCAGAACGCATGTAGAATTCATTTGCGCCTCATTTATCAATATGCATGCCGCGGCTGATCACATATTCACAGCCTACCCTTGCTAATTACTGTATATTATGGTGTTTCGAAAGTTTCAAGCACCTGACTTGTACTCCATTTGTTCTCTGTACAATAATACGCCCGAGTAAAACAACTTGCAAAAAAAACGTTAACTTAACGTTAGGAAACGGCTAAAATTGACACACATCCGTTAACCTAGCGGTACTTGAATGTTAAACTAACGTTTTCCTACAAGCTGTTTTACTCGGGACGGGACCTGAAAGCTTGCCCGGTCAATGTAAAGAAATGCTGGAGCATTAAAGACAATGGTAAGCAATCTACCACGATTGAAGTAATTGGTCCCATTCTACTTGTATGTATGCTTTCATACCTGCATGGAACACCTGGTATGCACACCGCGCAGCCGTCGTACGGTAATACATGTAAGGGTTATTTACTTACTTAAAATTTACGACTCCCATTACCACAATGGATGGCATGCGGATGAAATATTCTCAGCAATTTCGAAATATTCACATTTAGGCTTTTGTATGCATTTAAAAATCTTTGATAGTTATGTTTTATAATGTAATATTTAATTTAAAGCTGAGACTCTTAATTGATACAATATCATGACTACTCATACAGTCTATATCTGTTTATAACTACTACTCTATATGTTTATCTACTCTATATGTTTATAAATTTGGGACAAGATTTTTAAAATATTCCATTGAAACATTTTATTTTCATGCAAGCGCCGTACGAGCCATTTACGTGGACTAACTTAACGTCAAAAAGTCTGACAAGTCATGCGACAGCTTGAAGGATTGCAGAAATGATTTGCTTACTCGGATTGCCGTTACGAAATCAACACAAATCCACAGTATTAGAGCGATTCCAGGTCAACAGGAGGACGTTGACTGTTGTGGTAAATTGTTATGAAATGAGCTGAATTAGCTTACTTCGTTAACGCCTTTCAAATATATTGCCAAATGTATACCAAGATTACGCGGTCAGATTAAGGCCAGGTTGTTCAATAAGTCACTCGTTGGAATTATACAATTTACTTGTAACAAGTGTAAATAAACCACATAGGACACCTACGGCCGCATATACATGCAAAACGTAGGTGATTACCGCATGCATCTGGCACTGCAGTTCAAATATAAAAAACCTACTATTAAAAGCTATTTTTAAATCTGTTATTTTTGTGACGCTATACTAGACCATAGTTTATTATCATAAACTTTTGAAATGACTTAATTTTTAAAGGGTCAGGAGTTTATTTAAGAGCAAACGCGATAACAATATTATCAAGAGCCTCGTTATCGCGTTATTGTAACTGCGAAATACTTAAGTAAAGCGTACATTCCATTAAGAAATCGTTATTGCAAAGTAATTTGGTATTTTTTAATGAAGAAATGTGGGATACGTAAGTTAACCAATGACAAAATCAAGGGTAATGCCCATTGCACACTAGCAAACACGCAAATTATATAAAAGGCTGGTAGCGAAAGTTTACAATTATAAACGTCGCGAAACTTTTTAAAAGTTACATTTGAATCCGTACCGTATACAGTATAATATTTTATACGACTTGTCCATCATTTTTACAATCTTGCAAGTTGCAATACGAAAGTGCATGCTTAATCGTATGCGCGTTAAAGTGTACCTACCAGATTTTCCAACTCCTGAATCACCCAATAAAAGGACACGGAATATGGACATTATATTCCGCAACAGTTACCGGTGGGAATTGTTGATCAAATTTGATGCTTTTATGGATTACGAATACCGTAATCCAAATTGCGGCTGATTCGAATTCCAAAACAACTGTGCCGCAGATCACACATTTTTGAACTGGACACTGTCCATGCAACATTAAGGTTGTCACATTGTGCGCATCACTTTCTCGTCTGCAGTGGCAGAAGATTTATTGTGAAGCTCCTGCATTCACTAATTGGGTTCCGTTGTCGACGGTGTGTAATCATCAGCACGAAAAACGAAATCACTTGAGTAATCAGTTGTGCATGACAGTTTGTGGTAAATCCAGCTAGTTTATTTCGACACTCTGAAATTGTCCATTTGAACGAACGCGATGCAAATTACGTCGAGAACAACTGCACATGATCAGCAAAAACATCATATGAAATGCACGTGTGGCACACTCCAATAAGATGACACCAAGGTATAATTATATGTACACCGTATGTGAAAATACGTATATAGATATATATATGTGGGGCGGTTCGAGGTGCGCTGACGGTATTGGTAAACGGCTTAGAATAATATGATGCCAACTGCAAACGCGGTACGTCGACTCGTCAATACAAACCACACTTCAAAGTTATGCAATTATGTTGCTCGTGCAACTAGTAGAGCTAGTGATCGACATTAACACCGCAATCACCGGCGTTGCACAATTATGAAATATTTAAATTGTGCTCAGATCAACAGGTTCGGTATTTTTGCCAGAACAGTGTATTTACGGAAAAAAACATCGCTACTTGAGCGTGGTGACTGTAGTGTATGATCATGAGCAGCATTTATTTTTGAATGAGCGGAACTGTCTTCTAATAAATATGATTATGTTCCCGGAAAGGTTACAGCGTTGCGCACTGCGCTACAAGTGGGTGCTTAAGATGACCAGAAGGCGCTTTTATATATGGAAGAAAGCTTAAGCCTCTGAAATACACACAACCCAGCTGCTGTTTCGCATAATCGTAGGAGTTTGTTAAAGTGGTTGGACAAGAGTTCAAAGGTAAGTAAACGTGAGGCCCTCTTTGTCAAGATCAAATTCGGCACCCAGCGTGCTGTTCAGCTTTGACAATACAACAACAATTTGTTTGTTACATCACCATGAATACAACGTGTGTGCAAGGAAGCGACCTGATAACAGATTGTGCTATCAGCAAATTATTCAACTACTTCTCGAGTTCAGAATTTATACGTGCGCACGTAATACATAAAACCCATATACGACAAACGTTACGTTTCCATACCAGTTTTCTGTTTACTTCTAGTAAATTTTACATGTGCTAATACTACATTAGAGAATATTTAATGTTAAAATTGCCGTACAAGCCTTCTACATTCCAATACAAGTATACACGAGGAAGCAAGGGGATTGAGAATGAAAACCAGAACGGTGTAACGAAAACGCGCCACAATTTGGCAGTGTAGGGCAAAACTACACCGCATTGTGCATGTTGACGTTAAACGTCGCAACTGAGAAAACGCATGATGCGATCAAAAAATAAAAATGACAGGCAGTTACAATTAGATAACCACATTTAAATGCGCATTCCTCATTTATTTTGAATGTCTACCCTGAACTAGCATACAGTGAATGTTAAAAGTTGAAAAGGTAAGTAAATGACGAGCTTACTTACTTTTACTTACTTACTTACAATTTTATAAATTCCTTGTCTACAGAGTATGTGTATATACAGAGCAAATACATAGGGTGATGGAATAAGATAGATGGAAATTTCCAGCGTTATATTACTCGTACAAATATCGATGGCTAATATTATCTGCCCAAAAATTCTGTTGGTTCGGGAATGTTCATAAGGTCATAATCTACTGCGTTGTCTTTCGTCGTAGGGTTATGCGCGTCAAGGGTATCAAGGGAACTAGGAAGTGGATGACCGTATCCGCCCAAAAGGAAATGCAGTCGGGGGGACTTTGAACCCAGAAGCGGATCCACCGCGTAATATCTGTGATTATTCTGCCATGATGGCAGTGGCCCGGTAGCAAACAATGGCGTTGCAACATGTAACCCTGTATAGGCGAAGCTTTTTTGGACGGCCTTCCCATAACGACCTGTAAATTAGGAGATGGTTAAAACTCGAGAGTCGAAGCAACGTGCCGAGGATAAATAATGGGAAAAATTAAGCAGAAATTACAATGCACATTTACAGTAATTATATCGTTATGAAACCTGACCAGTGAGGAACATTCACTCAAACTCGGGTACATACTATGTTTTCATTGTCGTGAAATGGTAAATTTGGCGTTTGCCTTTCATTGAAAATATGTCGGCCAAATTCTGTACGTCCTGCATTATTCAGATTGCTTTGGATATTGTGTTTATCGCTGCTTCTACACCTAATTGTAAGTACAATACTTAAGGAAACCGAATCATCTTTCATAATTCCTCGTTGTTGAACGAGCCATGAAAGCGACCAAAAAATAAAAATTCAAAGATTACCTCGATTCCCGTAATGACCTCTGATAAAAATTCGTGCGGATGCGCCAGGAGGGCTACTCCAAGGGTCAGATCTATGCAGCAAGAGCACACCCGCAACCGCAAGTACTATCAACAAATGTTTTGCAGTATCCATTCCCAGTCTGGATGACTGATCTGCATATATTTCCGCAGATTCCTATTGATATCAACTTGAAGATAAGTCATACACATATAAAAATGCAGCAATCTAATACAAGCTAGAACAAAATTAGCAAGGTGTTGTCATAGACGATTCGAGATCTATACGCTACGAAAGGTTCATATACGGTACATTCGCAGTTACTCGACTAAAAATAAGGCAAGATGTAATGTTACACGAGTATATGGAATTAGGTGACATCTCCTCACGAAGAGCTTACTTATATGAGTTTTATCTAATTCCAGACACTCCGTAATAGTGGTAGTTGTTGTTATCGACAGAAGACCACTACGCAGGAACATTTTTATAAACAAACCATAAATACCATCCACAATATTATTAAGCTAATTGACACAAAAGGACAGTTCAGCAAAACAACATGCCGCACATAATACTGATACAAGGACGATTACCGGAACCGCAAAATTCCTGCTCATCCTAAACGACAAATATCCGATTCAAAGTAAACAAGCGCGCAACATTCATGCTGCCGCACTTACAGCTAATACAGTATTAAGTAAGGTGCGACAAAGTTATCCTACATAAAATGTTTCATTTCACTTTGTACTAGTGACATCCAGAAAAAATTATTTCCGGAAAACATCTTTAATCCACTTTGGCCAGATGACTCGCGTTAATGGGAGCGGGCGCGCTGGTAGTTTCTTGACTTTGTGTCGATTCAAACCAACGCGATTCCTCCAGTGGAACACGGGCAGGCAGGAAAAACTTTTTACCAAACACACCAACTGCGGGTAAATGAGATAATATAACGGCGCGGATCTTGAGCAAGCAATCTAAAACAATCAGAATCTGGTAATGCCAATAAAAATTTTAAATTCCACTTTTCAACAAAGAAATAATATGGAAATATGTTTCTTACCGGTTTCGGCCATCTGTTTAGCCCGCATGTCTTGTTCGAATTCCGGTATAGAGAGCAAACGATGCGGATTGGGAAAATAAACCTGAAGCCAGTATCCAAATGTAACAACCAGACACGCGATAACAAGTATGCACTGCCGGTAACTGAACCGATGCACCTATCTACCTTGATGACTTTCCACAAAGATGATAAGATAGAGCTGACTTCGTTAGGTAGAAGATGGTGAACCACGTTGCCAATAAAACAGTATGGTTCATGCACCATTTTGCTCTGCAAAACAAAACTCTGACTTTCTAGATATCGATATATCGAAGATATCAAGTCTTTAACTTAATTTGCCGACCGTTCACATTTACAAATGCCACACACAATCATTAATCATTTAAAACCTTTTCGTTTCAAGAATTACCACATACCTTGGAAAGACACTTGAGTAACCAAACCGTTTGCTGCAGCGCTGCCTCATTTCGCCGGGATGAAACGCTTTCGAAACTAGTTTCCCAATGGATATACAAGCTTATAAAAACGGGTCGTATAATCGGCGAGAAATATACAAAGCCATGAGGATGACCTGCAGCCATATCGACTATCTTCATCCAGACCGGATTCTTCCGAAACGCACTGACAATATGCACGTTACGATTGAAAAAGGCCACGCTCTGAAATTCCGGCCACCATATCACTTTGTCAGCCTCTTCCGGCTCAAAAGTATCAATAAAGCAGGCGGCCAACCAGCACCAGCCACCGAAAGAATACAGACGCTTTTTTAAATATGAATACGTAGTAACATTTTCCAGTCTTGGTGCCTTCTTGTCAGAATTCTCCGAATCAGGAATCACAGATATCCTCATCACAAAATCCTTGTACTCCACTTTAAAACGATCAGAAACTTGTTCATCTGTGTTTTTCGAATTTCGCATCTCCGGTAGGTCAGGACTAGCTGGGCTTTCCAAAGCCAACCCAGTAGCATCTGTAAAAGAGCAAAGACTATCGGTGTAATACCAAGAACCAAAGCATCAAGCCTGGGACCGCATACTAATTCAGCAATCATCAGCACGATTCAAGTGTCACAATGCAGTTTATTAGTTTAAAGCTACAGAAAATGCGATTTAAAATGTAGACGCATACAAGTCTTGTATTATGAGAGCAAACCAGCTTGTCGAAATTCAAATCAACCTTGAAAGGTTCAGAAATTGTTTTTCAAGAAAGCACACCACCACAAGCATTACCTGGAGGAGGAGAAGCCGGTGAAACATCTTGCGGAGGTGGAGGTGAGTCCGGTGCCTGCACAGTGTTAGGTGTGCTAGATGGCTGTGCAGCCGACTTCTCCGGATTAAGTGGTATTCCCTCTTTTGCCGGAAACGATTCACAGCATAACCACAGTGCGTCTACTGCCATTGTCTGGTTGGCCAGCGCTGCAGCAGGACTTACTGTCACCACTTTAAACTTTTTCTTCGGTCGTGGCCATGTAACCAGTCCATTTCTTCCGCCGTTTCTCAAGGCCCGCGGTTCCGGACGAAATCGCAAAAGCGAAGGCATACTAAGGTTCTTTATATTCATCTCGTATAGCGATAACTCGTTGTCACGTTCGTAATAAGTAATCTGGCAATTTCCACCACTCATATAAGGGACAATTTCCTGAAACAAATAAGCAGAAATGATAAATCCTGCTAGACGGCAAACGCCGCACTAGATTATTTTCAGAACTGTAGAAAATTTCTAAAAGTGCTGACAATAATTAAAAATTCCGTAATATTAACTGAAAACTTGCAGAAAAGCGAAATTTACCAAATCTAATATGTACTAACTTACGTCGTAGTCCAGAAACTGGACAAAAACCCACATAAAAATGACCGGAAAGTCCGGCAGTCGGCACAGCTGGCCTATTAAGGCCATAAACTGTTCTCGCAAAGTGGGATCTCCTTCGCGTACAGCCACGGCAAACAGTTTCAGCATAATTCGCGCCATCAGCACGCGACACTGCGCATCGAGGCAATTCGGCACAACATCCCGCAGGAAAAAATTCCTCAGCGCCTCATCATCCATCAGCGATGCCCAGTGCCAGTTGGTATGTTGCAGACACCTGAGAAACGCTCCGAGATGCAGAATCATCATGTCTCTGACGATGCCTGCAGTTTGCTGCGAGTTCTCCTCCTCCAGTACCTCTTTGCCGGCCAGCACGAAAAATCCCGGCACGGATAATACACATGGCTCATTCAGCCGAGATTCGTAGAATTCCTCGAGAAAATCGGCAAAACGGCTAGTGATGACGGAAAACCACTCATCGTCAGAAACCACTGTGGCTGCGGGAATGTCAAGCGCAGGATCTGCGCGAAGCTCCTCGAGCTCCGCTTCGTGCTTAATGAGATCTTCTTTCGTGTCAACAGCGAGAACCTCCACATATTTCTGAATGGAAGACCAGATACTTCGCTAACAGTTGAACTCAGTGAATGCGCTAGCTTGCTTACCTCAAGCTCGGAAGATCCTTTTTTCGTCGATTGTCCGCGAATTCTTTTAATCTTTAGCAAACCTTTGGCTATCAAGTCAGCGGATCCATTCTCTCTGTCGTTCACGTTGGGCGTTACTGTTGCATCCATCTGGAATTAAATTGGATGTCATAAAAGTCACTTTATATTTGGTAAATTCTGTATGGCAACTTTAGAAACTGCTTCGCATCAAATTTATAAAAACTCAAAACACTTTGTTTTGTCGTCGAACAGAAATCCTGGTGACTAATTGTAAGAATGAAGATTGTTATTAATGTTATTAGAGCTTGTTCTAGACACACCACGGTGACGATAACGGTGATGACTCACCACAAATTTATCGTTTTCTTGCTTCTATCGTATCGTTACGGTCGTTGTGAGCACGATAAAACGTCCTGCTATCGTTGTTCTTTCCCGGTAGCTCCCGTCTGCTTACAGAAGTGGCAAACTACCGTTGTGCCACAAGAAACTAGCAAAAGAAACATTCCTCTATTTTTTAAAATAATTAAAAGAACAGTTACTACAAAGAAAACGTTTCAAAAGAATTTTTTGCGAGCAACTGAAAGATCGGGAGTCGCGTGTTTGCTCAAACTCCCACCCCATAAGCGGCTGTCACGTCCCTGCTCATCCACTCCAGTAATTTTATTTACAGCAAAACCGAACCGAACCCGAGCCGACTTCGAGTCTATCGTTATCGTTGTGCTCAGCGAACAAGCAGACTCTCTTACGATGGCGATTACCGTCACGGTAACCGATCGTGATCGTCACCGTAGTGTGTCTAGAACAAGCTCTATTGTTGTTATTTGCAATTTGCTAGTAAGTACTGCCAGTATGCCATTAGCTGATCATTAGAGCTTGTTCTGGACACAACACGGTGACGATAACGGTGATGACTCACCACAAACTCATCGTTTTCTGGCTTCTATCGTATCGTTACGGTCGTTGTGAACACGATAAAACGCCCTGATATCGTTGTTCTTTCCCGGTAGCTCCCAGCTGCTAACAGAAGTGGCAAACTACCGTTGTGCCACAAGAAACTAGCACAAAAAACATTCCTCTATTTTTTAAAATAACTAAAAGAGCAGTTACTTGTCATATATTATCATAAATAATATATTTATTAGGCGCGCCACGATGTACTCTGAATGTTTACATGATCTTACAGTCGCAGCTGTATTGGTTGCTATGTAAAGGTCATGCACTATCACACCTCCCCCAGTGGGAAAAACCCACTCAACAACAAAAAACATAATTAACCAAAATTGGGATCTTTAATGAGCCGCTTTGGACTCACTCCGGCATTTGCACGCGCTGTTCTTCGTGGTGCTGGATTGGCTACCGTCGGCACTTGCTTCTTCGGTTTAATCGTCCTCGACTCTTTCGCAGGCGGCTGCGTTGTTTCATTTTTGCTTTCAGCATTTAATTGTGCAGTCTGCTCTGTCACGGTATTCTGGCTGCCGTCGGTGGTGTTGGCTAACCCAGTGCCTTTCTCTGGCACCTCCGCTTTCACCTCCTCGGCAGGTTCCTTCTGGGTAGGTTCCACCGCTCGTGGTGAGTTCCCATTCTGCTCTTCTGGCATATCCAGATCGACATGCTCGCCAGCGTTCAACCAGTGGCGCGGTCGCAGTTGGTTCTCGTGCCTGCGCCAGGTCATACCGTTCACTAGCACCTGCCATATTCGCGTACCTTCTCGCTTCAGCAGTTTCCCGCTGACCCAGTCCACCAGTCGGTTTAGCCGGTAGTCGCGCGTCAGCACCATCTGACCAGGCTGGAAATTCTTTGGCTTGGTGTTTTTGTCAAAATTACGCTGGTATCGCTGTCGATTTTTCTCAGTCGTGGTGAGCAAGACTGGCACCAGCAAATCCATGGTGGAACGCATTTTGCGACCGATGAATTGCTCCGCTGGCGATACTCCAGTCGTCGCGTGTGGTACGCTGCGGTAACGCCACAGGAACTGTCGGAGAGCGACCGGAAATGACTTTCCGTCTTCTCGCAGCTTGGCGATACCGTCCTTGACGGTTTGCACAAAACGTTCCGTTTGTCCGTTGGACTGCGGATGTCCCGGCGGTGTCCGTATGTGCTTGATTCCGAACTGCGCACAGAACTGGGCAAATTGTTCCGATGTGAACTGCGTCCCGTTGTCTGACACCAGTTCGGCACATATCCCGTATCGACTGAATAGATTCAGGAACGCTTCGATAACCCCGTCCGTCGTGGCGTGTTTCATCGGAATGACCTCTGGCCACTTTGACAAGGCGTCTACCACGATGAACAGCATCGTTCCTTGATACGGACCCGCGAAGTCCATATGAACACGCTTCCATGGTGCTTCCGGTACGGCCCACTGCGACAAAGGAACTTTCGGCGTCTCCTTGGCGCGTTCGGAACAGATCCGACAACCGGCCGCCAGTCGCTCGATATCCTTGTCCATCAGTGGCCACCAGCAGTAGCCGCGCGCTTCCGCTTTTATTTTGCTGACGCCCATGTGCGCGTCATGCAAATGTGCTAGGATGGCGGGACGGAGCTTCTCCGGGATGACGGTCCGCATTCCCCAACAAATGCATCCGTTGACCAGTACCAACTCCCGCTCCAGCCGCTTGTACGGCTTCAGTCGATCACCTATAGCGCTCGGCCATCCGTTGCGAATGTAGCCGGTCAGCTCACTGAGTTCCCTGTCTTCGGCTGTCTCGGCTGCAATCGCTTCTGTGGACACTGGAGTGTTCCGTAGACTCTCAGTGTGCACATCACTGACGATGTTGTCCATCCCCAGGTCAGGGAGTCCACTCAGCTGTGTGGAGTGCATAGGCAGTCTGCTGAGACCGTCGGCTTGACCAAACTCCTCAGTGCGGCAGTACTGTATGGAAAACGTGTAACCCATTAACAACAGTGCCCATCTCTGCAGCCGGTTTGCGGTGATGACTGGGATGCCTTTCCGGCTTCCAAACACATTAAGAAGTGGTTTGTGGTCAGTCAGTAACGTGAATTCTCGGCCGGCAATGTACTGATGAAATTTGCGACATCCGAATACAAGTGCCAACGCCTCTTTCTCAATTTGCCCATAGTTCTTCTCCGCCGGGCTGAGCGTCTTGGATGCGTGCGCGATGGGACGTTCGGTGCCGTCGGGGAAACGGTGACACAGTACTGCTCCGACACCGTACTGTGAGGCGTCCGCCGCTAATACCAGTGGCATGTCCGGATCGAAATGGACAAGGAACGTGGCCCGGGCGATTTCCTCCTTCAACCCGTTGAAATTGGCTTCGCACACCTTCGACCATTCCCACGTAACACCCGCCTTCAGCAAGCTGTGGAATTCATTGCACTTTGCAGACAGGTCCGGCAGGAATTTGCCGTAGTGATTCACGAGTCCGAGGAATGCCCGGAGCTCGCTCACGTTCGTCGGCCTATTCATGTCCAACAGTGCTTTGACACGATCGCGCGAGATGTGGCGGCCTCGGCTGTCGACGACAAATCCGAGGTACTCCACGGAACTCTGCATGAAACGACACTTGGCTTGCTTCAAGGTAAGCCCGTGTTCTTCCAGCCGTTGTAGCACCTTCTCCAGGTTACGGAGATGTTCTTCTTCGGTTCGGCCTGTGATGATGATGTCATCCAGGTACACGGCCACTCCCTCGCATCCCTGCAGGATCTTCTCCATGATCTGCTGGAAGATGCTTGGGCCGCTGGATACACCGAATGGTAACCGGTTGTAACGGAAGAGACCTTTATGCGTATTGATAACGACGAGTTGCTTGCTGTCTTCTTCCAGCTCCACTTGGGCGTATGCTTCCGCTAGATCCAGTGTGCTGAACGTTTGCCCTCCATTCAACTTAGCAAACAGTTCATCTGGAGTAGGAAGCGGGTATTGCTGCGCGTCCAAGGAATCGTTGAGACCGGTACTCAAATCGGCGCAAGTCCGGATATCACCGGCACGCTTCTGCACCGACACCGTGGGAGCCGCCCAATCCGCGTGGTCGACCGGAGTCAGGATGCCTCGCTGCACCAACCGGTCCAGATCCTTTTCCACGGCGTCACGGAACGCAAACGGCACCATCCTTGCTTTGCAGAACACCGGACGGGCGCCAGGCTTCAAATACAAACGAGCCTTGTAATGCTTGCAGTGTCCTAGCTCGTCTCGGAACACTGCCTTGTGGCGCTCCAGGATCTCCTTCAACTTTGGGTTGCTGCTCACAGCGCACACGGAAGTGTCCTGAAGGTCGCGTAGACTTAGGTGACTGAGATCTAGAGCGGCAATCCAGTCACGCCCGAGGACATTTCCGCCACGGCCCACTACCACCACCGGCAGCGCCTTTTGTGTACGGCCATGCACCACCTCCAGTGTTGCCGTTCCGATGACACTCAGCGGATGTCCTGTAAAGCTTCGCAGGGGATGGGAGTACGGGCTCAGTCTGGGCGCTCCAATACTTCTCCATGTGTCTGCCGTGATGATCGTCACCGCAGATCCGGTATCCAGCACAGGTGACACAGCTGTCCCGTTCAGCTTCAGTGGTACGTGGATCGATCCGCCAACCACTGCGTTCACCGACAGGACATCGAACTCGTGCTCGACCGCCCACGTGCGTCTTCCTTCCTGTCCTCGCGACTGGGGCTGCTTCGGGCTGCGGCATACCTTCGCGATGTGACCTTTCTTGTTGCAGTTTCTGCACACAAGATCCTTTGCCCAACAGTCTCCGCGAGCATGCGTAGCAGAACCACATCCCGAGCACGCTGTCGATCCAGCTGCCGTATTTTGGCTAGGCGGGTTTCCACGCCCTCTCATTCCTCCGCGGCGGTTCCCGCGATATCGATTCGCGCCACCGCCCCGTCGTTGACCTCCGTCTACACGCGCAACTTCCACTGTTGCTTGACCGCGCTTCGTACTCCGCGTCAGCTCGTACTGTTGAGCTAGCTCCAATGCCTTCTCCAGGGTGGTGAAATCTTTGGACATTAAATGTTGGCGCGTGGTGTCATTCGCCAGTCCATTCAGGAAGGTCGAAGACATATTCTTTTCCAGCACGTCTGCTGGAAAAGAACAGTGGATCGCTTTCCTGCGGAGCTTGTTCGAGAAGTCCAATAGGGTTTCTCCTGGCTCTTGAGAGATGCGAAAATAATTCGCCCACTCCGTGGTTGCGTTGGTCTTCTTCACATACGCGGCTTCGAGCTTATCGACGATCTGGGAAGTTGTGTACTCGTCTGGATCTTTGGGCAAGCACATGGAGTGCACCAACTCCATTGCTTCAACACCAAGAGAATCCAGGAGCAGAGCTTTCTGCTCATCACTGTCGGTGACCTTCTTGAGCTTCACATAATTACGATATCGAAATTGCCATGATCGCCATGTCATGGATGATGGCTCGAATCGCAAAAGGCCCGAAACGCTCTCTTCCTTGGGAGGCATGCTGGAGGTTGGCTGGTTAGGATCCAGATCAAATTAGTCCGTATGAGTAAGGACTTCCTTCACGCCAGTTATGTCATATATTATCATAAATAATATATTTATTAGGCGCGCCACGATGTACTCTGAATGTTTACATGATCTTACAGTCGCAGCTGTATTGGTTGCTATGTAAAGGTCATGCACTATCACATTACTACAAAGAAAACGTTTCAAAAGAATTTTTTTCGAGCAACAGAAAGATCGGAAGTAGCGTGTGTACTCAAACTGCGACCCCATAAGCGGCTGTCACGTCCCTGCTCATCCACTCCAGTAATTTTATTTACAGCGAGACCGAACCGAGCCCGAGCCGACTTCGAGTCTATCGTTATCGTTGTTTTTAGCGAACAAGCAAACTCTCGTACGATGAAGATTACCGTCACGGTAACCGATCGCTATCGTCACCGTGGTGCGTCTAGAACAAGCTCTAATATTAGCTGATTAATAGCAGTCCTCTTCTCAGGACTTCTCAAGTCTAAAGACCGGACGAAACACAATGGGCAACCCCTGCGGGTGTGGTATTTTCGACTTGAAGCCCTCCCCGGCTCACCGTGTAGCGCTGTACCATATATAAACACATAATTGATCGGGATAATTCTCAAAAATTCAGAATAAATATTAAAAATAAAAATCTAAGTATAAAAGTTGAAAGTAAAAAGTAGCTGACTTACCTTCGTGCAACTTTGATGACACTGTTGTCTTCATGGATCAAAGGTTTTCTCATACGGTCAAACCATGAGTCAGTCAGATAATGTTTGATTTTCCTAAAAAATATCATTTCTGTGAAGTGCGAACGTTGCTGCATTTATATTGATCTTCCGGCTTTTCCATGCTGTTCCGTAAAAATGTCAAATCTGCATGATCGTAGCTAGTCACTAGACTCACTACTCAGTACTTTTTGCAAAAGCGTTGAGTGAGACCTGCAGAAGAGTTAAAAGCTAATTAACACAGTCTACGGCAGCAACAACAACAACGCGTAACCGTCGTAACGATTTTATTTGGGCATTGGGATTGGGTGCAGACACTACATAATACATATAGCACCGGAACACGGGTCACTGGCGCAAACCGGCCCGCCGTCCTTGGTAAAACAACCCCCGTCTCCTCGCCAAGTTTAAGGGCGACTTGTTACATGTAGACCACCTTTACTCTAGCACAATACCTCCGTTGCGTTAACCGGAATTAGGTTTGCTAATTCTATTTATCCTATTTCGTTATTGTGTCTCTTTAGTAGGACCATTTCGGCATATACGAGTACTGTAGATATACTGCATAAGTGTAAGTACTAACGATAAGTACAGTACTTTAATACCTTTCGGGATACAGGCTGATACAATCACTTTTCTCGTGCTTTTGGACAGTTCTGGTATTACAGTACTGAATCAGTGAACCTGACTGATCGACAGTGTGCCGAAATGTCTTTACGTCAAAACGGTAAGGGCGCCGTCACCTTGGCAAATTGGTTAACTGTTCTGGAAACGACAGGAGCTGTGTGCCGGTAGTACACGCTCCGCACGCTCACCATTGATCATAAAATTTTTTTAAGCAACGTAGGTTAGTTTCTGGTGACCGCGTCACCGCGTGTACGCTGAGTGATACTGCGAGGACTGTTGTAATGGGAAAAACTCCAAGTACATAGATAAGCTCATTTGGCAATTTGTAAAACGACTAAAACCTATAATTTGGGGGTCACCTGACTGACCACTGGTCAGCGTAAGACTGAATGTCGTAATGGTCGTTGTGAAGACGTTAAGCGATGCTTGTGACATTACTCTGCTTTCAGGATCTGTTTTGAACTCCAGAAATGGTTTGCTGACCAGCATGCTACGGGAGGTCGGAAGCCGCATTTATTACTAGTACAAGTAAGTATAAATTAATACGGTTTGCACACCCTTCTACCGTTCGACGATATGATGGACCAGTGGTGGTTCCGCCCGATTCTATTCGGACATTCGTAGTTTCTGCATGCCGCGGTCGGCCGAACGCGTGGTTTTCAACTGCGAGCGTGGCATGCAGAAATCATGGACGATTTTTTTAACAACGTCTAAAGCAGTTTACTAAAGTCCCAGTCGTAGAACCCGGCTGATCAGCCTTACTTCGCTTTTTTTAAAGGCTGCTCTAAGGGGATAAACTTCCTTTATTTTATTTACTGTAAGCTACAGTTTACAGTTCTTTGGACATTAAAATAAAGAAGTATGAACCAAAGCAGAAGAAAAAATGTAATAAATTACATATTCACACAAGCGCAAGTATTGTTCAATTGTAAAATCTTTAGAATAAGCCAACATCTCAATGCAACGACAAAGCACGAAAGCGAACATTTTAAACCGCCGCCAACCTGGCTAGACTATACTACTATTGTACTAACAGCTACCATGCTTTCGAAAGTCGGACTTTGAATTCTAAGCCACAAATACAATCATATCGCTACTGATAACAGATTACAGAGCCAACCAATTCCGGCTGGGATCATCACCATTCCGCCGTGATGTCTTCGGGGGCAATCAATTGCCAACTCTGAATATGGTGACTTATGGAGGCGGACTGGACGTGTCCTCCCAATGGTCGTGCTTGACCGGCTTCATGGCGATGATTTGAACGTGCACAGCCTGCGGACGCTCCATCTTCGGAGGCATCATGACAGTTTTGAAGATAACTTCATCGCCTTCTTTTGGCACGGTATCTCCGTCGATACTGAAGATAGAAAATTATTCGCGTTCCACTTGGTGAAAATAATTGGTGAAAGAAAGAATATCGTCACACAAAATCATTTGGGCTAAATGTTGACATTGCACTCACTCAGAAATGTGGACGAAAATGTCTTCTCCGCCAGAGTGAGGAGTAACGAAACCATGTCCTTTTTGTCGGCAGAAGTTCTTAATTTTTCCATGGAATGTCGGACCAGCAAGTGCACGTTCAGAGCTATCAAACAGGCAAATGTAACAATTAAGTCAAAACGACTTTCGAAAGGAAAGAGGGGTCGACAGCTCTTGGAACAAAAAACAAAACAAACAAAAACATGGAACAAAAAACTGCTCTATTTCCTTTCGGACTCTTTCAAAAGTAAACGATAAAGCTGAATTAATTATGGTAAAAACAAACTGTTCATACTTACGCAGACAAAGTGCGATTTCTCCGCGACGGTGTCGGACTCGGAATGGAGTGGCTGGAATGCGAATGGCCGTCCAAGGAGGTCTTCGATCCGGACTCATGGTGCCCCACCGAAGCGTCAGCATCGAACTTATCCCCGCTTTCCGCATTCAAGATATCCGGCTCATCCATTATTCCTGAGCTTTGCAATCTAGAGAAACACAGAAATCGGGCCGTAAACTACGTCTTTATGACTTTATCTATCGGAATGCTTGGATTTTGTACTTCTGCCCCTTGCCTGTGCAGCCATACTCCGACTCATTCGGATGGGACCTATGGCACCTACCCGTTAAATCGCAAGCCCGACACGTTGTTGTTTGTCCGCAGCAAAGTTAGCTGAGATGCAGAAGTTTTATTAAGCTCCAAAAGAATTGATTAAGGAGCAAAAGTTACCACAAGGTGCAGGCGCAAATCACAACAATCGTGCGACAAGTATTTGACAACATGGCTCATTTCGAAATTTCAAAATTCAGTCAGTTCCTGTATGACGTTGAAAGTCGGACCCCCCTGGTTTCTGAATAAGCAGAGCCTACCCCCCAGTGGGCACGTTACCTTGCTTCTGATTTTGAGTAGTTTGAAATTTTACTCGTAATATTTTACGTTTCCAGCCGGAACTACGTCCAATCACTCCGAAGGCTTTTAGTTGCGGGTATACCGTTTACGTACTGCGAGTACTTTTGAAGGAACATTGTCATTTTGCTGGCTGGAAATAACTGGAATAATTGGAATGCCTTCCGTTTGTAAGCGATGTTCCCAGCGTGCAATACTAAAGAGGCCTAAAACAGTGAGTACTCTAGTAACTCTAAAGTCTACATCGGTTCGATTGACAATATCGTAACTTGTGACGGTTACTTGTCGAATAATTTTTCATTTCACTCTTCACTGGCTGTTTTGGTATATGTGCTGTAATCTCTGAAGTCTGACCCGATTTTCTAATTGCAGGGAGATATACTATGCAAAGAATGCTTCTTTCAAGTGTTCGAACTGGAAATTCATCGGACAGTTGTGCAGGCTGGACTGTTCCAGCCAGGCATGAAAGTAGCTGTTGCTGCTTCCGGTGGGAAAGGTATGCAGCCACAGTGCGTTTTAGAAATGCATAATCTGATAACAGCGAACCTTTCAGCAGTAAATATTTGACTGATAATCAGTAGTGCCGCTACTCGTTTGTGTTCCTTAGTAATCCTTAAGCAATTTCTGTCTCGGATCTGAAGAGAGTAAAAGAGACTGTTTTGCAGATTCCACGGTGTTGGCGCATGTGATGAAAGTCTTGTCAGAAAGATACAATTACGGCATCGATTTATTCTTGTTATCAGTGGATGAAGGAATTACGGGATACCGGGATGATTCTCTGGAAACCGTGAAAAGAAATCAGCAGCAGTACGACTTGCCCCTCCGGATAGTATCGTATAAGGTACAACTGCCGACCGTATAGTCCATCGTTGTTATTTATTGAACTGACAATGCCACATTTTGCTAACACGATATCGCCGTAGTTTTGACCGCAACAGAGAATTGTTTTTGTTACACGTTACACGAGCAATCGCCTTCATCGAGATGGCTTGCAATTTAAGCTTTATTTGAATTCTGTGTTCTTGTTGTTGTCGATAAGGTTAGTGTGGCTGGAAGAGGCTGGAGTATTTCAGTTTTACTGTTTTTAGGATCTGTACGGATGGAGTATGGACGAAATTGTCAAGCAGATTGGGCTGAAAAATAACTGTACCTTCTGTGGAGTTTTTCGTCGTCAGGCACTGGATCGCGGTGCTTTATTAATGAATGTGGACATGATCTTGACGGGCCATAATGCCGATGATATCGCGGAAACCGTTCTCATGAACTGTAAGTCTGTAAGGGTATGAGTTGCTGCTTTTTTCACAGAGGTTTTCTCGGGAATTGTGCGTACCCTGTAGATAACAAAGAAACGATTCGGTTTAGTATAAGTCATATCTTACTTGTGGTTGTTTCTGTAAAAATGGATGTGGTTTAAACTTGTGGATTTAGTCTCAACTCTCAACTGATGTAGTACTTCGAGGAGATGTCGCACGGCTTAGTCGATGCACGAGCATCATTACGGGAGCGGAAGGCGCCTTACCGCGAGCCAAGCCTTTAAAATACGCCTACGAAAAAGAGATTGTCATGTATGCTTATTTCAAGAAGTTGGATTATTTTTCTACGGAATGCGTATACTCTCCTCAGGCTTACCGGTAAGAAGTGAAGATGATACTTCAGTTTTTATTGGTATGCCGTATGTGGATACTTCATTGAAAAAATGTGTAATTAGTGTCAATGTGAGACGAATTGCTACTGAAAATTGTGTTTTTCATGTTTCAGTGGATATGCTCGAACTTTCATAAAGAATCTTGAATCTATTCGACCCCGCTGCATCATTGATATAATACATTCCGGAGAAAATTTTGCGATAAAATCCTCTGTGAAAATGGCTACACAAGGTACGTTAAGTATTAAAGAGTGGGCTGTAATAAAAAAATGATAGAAGTAGTGAACCGAGTGATGATACACTTCTTTTTCATTTTGGTGGTTGCAAATCAAATTTTTTGCTCTTGCTTCAATCTTGGGTTCAATTTACGCAGGAATTTGCCAGTCATGTGGTTATATATCCAGCCAGAACGTTTGTAAGGCCTGCGTTTTATTGGATGGGCTGAATAAGGGTCGCGCACAAGTTGCTGTCTCCGGAAAGCAGCGCAAAGTTAATGCGGCCTATGCCCTTGGAATGGGACAGCTGCAAAGCTGAATTTACTGCAGCTGAAGTTTTTTTTTCGCTTCGTAACGCTAAATGCTTTCCTAGCTCCGCTTCTTGGCTCTAGTGACATTGCTGATTTTGACAAACGTTTGTCATATGCGTCTGTGATCCAATCCGAAACATTGTTTTATGTCGAAGTTGTTCGGCAGTGTTTGCTTGGTGCTAGCCATTTTTCGGACGCGGAGATGCGTGCACTAAAATTTTTTAAAAACAGATTGTGATCTACATGCACAAGCATATCCCGCATAAACGTGGAGCGAAGATGGAAAGATTACAATCCTTGTGTCCCGAAATTTCACAGCCACTTGCTCCACTGCGAGTGCATATGCAGTTGCGATATGTGGTCGCTGGCCGTGTTGTTGTACATATCCGGCGTTGCTGTGCTACCTTATGTTTGAGGTTATGATCAACAAAAAAACCGTAACATGTACAAAAAGAAATAAAAATTAATAAGCTTCTGTTAGCTTGTACTAGTATTAAATACCATGTTCACAATTTACTGAGGAAACTTGATCGATGCCTTGCTTATACTTATTTATTTTTTTTAGTCTCGTAATTAAGCGGTAATCTGTATGTGCAAATTTTGGAAGGTCATGGTCACTCACAAAGTTACCACATTTATTATGTTGACCTTTTGAATTTCCCTGCGAGCAGCGAGTCGAAAAGAAGTAGCTCTGGGACGGGTGCAGTATGACTACGTCCCGAGCGGAACAAGCGCGAAGGGATTTGCGGGACGACAGTATGTGTCTGTAAGCAAATGTTCTGTTTTTTTCCCGTCAAATAACGTAAAACGTCACCGTGTTGATTTCAGCCTGGATGCTTCGCGAAGGCCTTGCCGAAGTGGAACGCGAACAAGTTGCACAGGCAAAATGCGACAAGAAGCGCTACCAAATCTCCAATATTCCCTTTTTGGGAACGGATGTGATACCGCGCATAGAAGATATAGTTCCAAAGCCAAGGGTTATTTACGAAAATGATTCGGATTACATTAGGATGTGCAAACGCGGAGGAAGACCGGGTAAAGTAAGCGCCAACACAGAATTTCAGTATTACGGTTCATTCCAGAATATATTCCTTGCAAATGACTTGATGCCGTAATGCATCTGATGCAGCTGAGCTTTTTGTAATCAGCCAAGCTTATTTTCAAATTCGTGGTGTGTTGTACTTAATTCTGCTTGAACCTGATTATACTATATGTACATTACGTAGAAAATAATCACAAAACGAATCTGTAAAAGGAACCTTTTAGCGCAAACATGGTATAGAAGCACATTTTACGTTTGTGACTTTGCAGATTTGATATGGTGGTATCCTGACTACCCAGTGGACAGTGTCACGCCAGAAGAAAGTGCTGCCAAAGGTTTAGCGCCTAAACATCTTGACTGGTCCATGCATCTCTCCTCCTTTTTGCCCAGTCCACAGGAAGAGTTTCTAAAAAACAGGCATGTGGATGCGCACGTATATTAGGACTACGATGAAATTAAATAAAATCTCGGTTCCAGTCGTTCTTAATATGAATTGTTTTACAGAAAATTCGCTCCGTGTCAAAAACCAGGTATCTATCAATCCAACTAGCTAATTGTATCTGTACTCGTAGTTTACATCCTTAGTTTTGGAAATCAAGCATTCGAATTCAATGCTGAAAAATTTAGTTTGGGTTTGCAATTGCTGCTGATGCAGTTATCTGAATTAAATTTTTTAATTTTTTTGAGACCCTGAAAAACTTCATCGCCTGGATCCAACAAAACTTCCCACAGCAACCGGGAAGCCAAGAGAGTGAGTGTGTGAGCGTATTAGGATAGCGAGTTCCGTAAGGCAAGTGAAGGTCACGGATAATTCATACGCTAATGTTTAATTCTCGGTATAGGTACACGTGGGAAGCGGGCATGCAGCGCCAACCACCCAACATGTACGGATTAATCACCAATGGCTATGTAAAGCCGTACCAAGTGGAGATGAGAAAACGTCATTACTTCCAGAGCCTGTTTGACAGACCGCAAAACGAAGACGAAAAACTGCAAGGTATTGAAAATAGTTGAAACATCTCAGCTTACACAAGGAATATAAAATTTTAGAGCAGTGTGTGTTCTTCAGAGGAGCTTTATGAACAGCAACGCCGGCACAATGATGTTCTCAGGGAGAGAGCAGCGCGCTTCAACCGCTTGTCAAAAGGTCAACATTCATGGACACCGGAGGAAAGGGAGAAAACCAGCAAAAGCCTGTTTCCGCGAGGTCAAAATAATTTCGACAATTTATCATACATGACGCACCCAAATGCGCTGGTAACAAGTGGTTGTGTGTTTCAGGTTATGGACGAGGCGTGCGCGCGCCTTCGCTGTTGCCAAACCGAACATCGAAAACAAAATACTAACATCACATACCGATTAAAACTGTTGATCCTTGTTTCACCTACTATATCTTACAGTGCAACAAACACTGCACCACTTCGTATTAGGGATTAATTTCAAACTTTTCTGTGCTGCCGGTTTTCTGAGATGCGAATCAACCATCATAATAATTGTTATTTTGTATATTATGTTATAATCGACCGGAGCGTAGCGAAGGTCCTCTATTTCAAGTACTCTGACAGATCAAATAATTAAGTTTGTAATAAATTATTAAAGTGTATTATACATGCTATACTCAAAGGAAATGCTGCGCTCCGGTCTGCCAAATGCACGCCAACGTGCATTTTTCCTAGTGTTATACATCTTTTCTTGCGTGTGGCATAACGCATCCCTGACAAATAATAGCTTTATTACAACTATGCAGTATGCACACAATAAAATTTTGTTCCAAGTGTACAGTGACATCAAGATTTTTTCCGCGTGTGCAAGTGTGGTTTTAAAAGCAAATGAAAACCAGTGGCATATGTAGGAGAAGCGAGCAACTCAAGGTGCGCTAATTAACCTAAGAAGTGTATCACCACAAACGAATAATACAGTTTATTCGAAGGCTTAAGAAGTGAGCGATTGAGCCAATCTACGCCGTTGTCTGCGTTGTTCAGTGTAATTCGACTTCGTTGCCGCATTGGGGAAGAACACAGATTCGCGTTTCCACCGGGACATGCCTGCATGCCGCGGGATTGTTGGCCTCTTTAATCATGCGAATACGCTGCTGTATGCCCTGGCCACAGGTCTTACTGCATGCCATCCACTCGCTCCATTCACCGTACACACATTGCTGTTGCTCTGTATAGGGATAACAATACAGGTATAACACTACAAACTTTTTATTGTTCGAAATAAAAAAGTTTATATTATTGTATTGTGCTAACGGTAACCAGCACATGGTGATTTACGTACAGATACTTAATACTTGACCGTAAAAGGAATTAGTAATTTCAGTCATATTTTTTAATATTCGTTCCGCCACGCGTGGCCACTTACGGTTACAAGGTGTGATCTGGCATTTCCGTCTCTGCTGCATCCGGGACGGGCAATCTGTACCGCCGTTCTGGGGATGCACAATAACTTCGCGGAACCGGTCTTGATAACCCCGTCCACAGGAGGAGCTGCAAGGCGTCCAAGCGCCCCACGGCGTAATTTGGCAGTCAACAGGTGCCGTGTGAATCTGCGCCTTCAAAGTGGTCGCTTGTTGTGGCTGTGTCGAAGGAAGAGGCGCTACAAAAAGTAACCGTTTTCCTGCATTTTCCCTTCACAAAGAAAAACGGAACCGGATAACTTCAGAACATTTTGATACTTCGTACTGATGTTTATATGGCGGCTTTGCGTAATGGAGCAAAAGTATACCACTTATTTTAAATAAAATGTCCAGTTATTGTTACGTTACATTGATGAAAATTGGCATTGGTGTTTGATTGGGTCAACAAACATTTAGTGCGGAGAAATGTTTACCATCTATTTCAATGCGTTTAATCTTTAAGAAGCGAATTAAATAATAATTCCGGATAGTAAAGAGCCAGAAAATAAGCGCGCCTGACCTGGATCCGGATCGTAAAGCCACGTAATTAAACGCGTGCAAAATACAGTACGCATACGATTCACCAACACAACATCAAGCTGTCGACAATCTCGACGCACATGCATTGCGCAATCAGACGTTATTAGGTAAATATTGCGTTATATATTCCTACATCTAAAATTAACTGAAACTAACCACAAATCATTCCATTTCTAATCATAGCGGACGGCAACTGGGTTGCCATCTGGGAGAAATAGACGGGTTCAATGGAATTGGACACGATTCCTTGCATGTCCTCTATGGCAGACGAAGATGTTAGCAGATTCAGCGTTACCGGATGCTCTGCGTATTTTGCATGTACAAAAAGAGGAGAAAGAGATGCAGTTAGTGACGTTCCGTATACTGTACGATGCAGGATTATAGTTGGGTTTACGCGCGTGCATGCTTGCACAATGCTCGTGATTGAATATGCGCTTATGCTAGGGGCTTACCAAAAGCTCTCTCGCAAATTCGATTACACTCTTCGTAATTTTCAAAATTGTTCATGTTTCCGCGACATCCACTGTAGACAAACGGCTGACACGCTCCGCGATCTGAATCGAAGTACCACCTTGGAATGAATCCATAACAGCTGCCAACTGATTTTGGCTGCATACAAATAACTGGAAACAAACAAAGGTCACACTGAATCAAGTGAAAACTGAAGCGCTGAATGGGTACTATATTATACTACGAAAAAAATTCACACTTAATTTGTTCCAAAATACAATATCTCATGCTGGTTTCAGTAATGAATTGGAATTATAGTCGTATGAATTTTGAAATAATTTACGTCTGTTATAAATGGTATGTACTTTGCCGTTATTGAGTTATACAGCGCACATCAAAGTTTTATTACAAAAAATCACGAGCCGTTTAAATACTCTGATGTCTACTGCGCATATACTTTTATCTCGAATGCACAGTGAACATTACGCTGCTTATTTAGTTACCGAAATCAGACTATTCATATTAATTTCATATCTATACAACTTCATTACGCCTAATGATGATAATAATTCTTAAACTTTCAGACAGTGGTTAATTCAGTATTTTATCAGGCGAACGTCGCTCGAATATACTTATGCAAAATAAAAAATTTGAGAATGTTACCTTTCTGTTCCATGGCATCAAAATCACAGGTGGTACGATTCGCAATGCATCCACGCTTTTCGGTAAGGATTTTCCTGCATGATATGGCATCTTTTGGGTACAGGTAATGGCGGCGACGCGCTTGTGTACCTTTCCCTGCAAGGTTAACACTAACAGTCAAAAACACTAACAAGACATTTCATTATTTCGGGATATTACGGACAGTTTGCAAGAAAACAAACAAAAATTATTATTGAACTGCGTTGTGTGCAAAGATGACAGATGTCAGAGCGTAACACTTTTTGAGCACCTACTTCCACTGAATACTTTTATCTCGAATGCACACTGAACACAAAATTGTGCTGTTGTGCCACAAAATTACTCTATATCTGAATATATTAATTTAGTACTCCGATATAGGCACATATAGGAGTAGATATGGGCAGAAATGACTACCTGCAGTACTTTGAAGAAAATTAAAAAGTCTTATACAAAATTCGGCAGTTTAAGCTGTTGCAATGGTAATATATAGTAATTAGTACGTCACATAAAGCCTGCATTAAATAAAACTATATAAGACACGACTAGCTTCGCTTGAGAGTTGGTCCAGTTTGAAGTACTTACTTTACCAATGCGTGCGCAATCTGTGAGGCATAAAAATAAATAGTAAAAACGTTAACAATAAAAGGTATCTAAACAATGTTTGAAAATCAGTAAAAAAAAATTTTATTTTTGAAGTCATTGAACTGCCCCTTCGGCGCATTACTCTGTGTTGAATGCTGAATGGATATCCCCGGTGTATCGCTTGGCGTAATGAACATTGAACAGACGTAGATTTTCTATGTAATACTTCTAGTTCATGATACGGAAACTATCGGTAGTCAAAATGGTCGCATCTAAAAGAGATTATTACGCTTCGCTGCCCTGGCATTTGCAGATTGAGGATTGTATCCAATTTAGGAAGAGTTTTGACAATAACACAAATTATCTTCTCCCAATTAGCATTACATTTTCCTTAATTACTTTCTGCACGCAACCGTTCTGCAGTAAAGGTTATGAGCGGCCCCGCTAGCTAATCATGGCACTCAGCAAAGTGCACATATTATTGTAACATGGGTTTTCTCAAAATTTTTTAAAGTTATACATCTTTCATAGAACAACGTAATACGTTCGTGCCCATGCCATTATTTAGTCATTTTAGTGTGCACTCGGTTCTGGAAACTACTTTAAAATAACATGAATTATGTAAATCTTGTATTTAATATGGTATAAATGGATCGAAGAAGGCATGTCACAAGACCGGCCACCGTGCATACTTAAAAAGAGCAAAGGTTGGGTTGTGCACAAAGCTTAATGAAACACGACCAATAATAAGATAAAAATGATCTTTTCCCGGAAAAACCGTATGCACAAAATCAATCTATTATTATAATTTTTACATTATTTTGTTATACCTCTATCAAAAGCGAAGTGATTCTGGCGGCGCCCAACAAATGGGCAGTCTAGCGTGTATTGAGCAAATCGTTTTTGGCTTAAATTTGCCACTATGTATGCCAAGTGCGTGGTGAAAATGATGCTACTAAAGGATGCAGAAACCAAGTTCAACAGACCCGAATATCGTTTTCCTGACTGCGCATGTCAGACCGATAAACACTGATGAAATTTTTTGTCATCTTGAACGTCTCATCTAAATACTGCGCTCGTCTCGGCGTCTCGATTAAGGAATTCGTTCTTGGCGCAGCGATAGCGCAAAATTATAAATTTATCAAACGATAATTATTATGTCACTGATATCAGCACCACAATTTTTTCTTAAGAAAATAAGGGGAATATATGTCATCTGTCCTATTAATCGTAATAAAATATTAAATGCATCACTGTGCTGGAACACTCTGTTGAAGCATTTACTATAAAGTATAATCATGAATTTTTAAGCGTGTATACTAAGAATGAAGCGAATCGCAGCTCTGTAATTATGCACATGATAAATAGAACAGTTGTATAGCGCTACAACGTATTTTCCATTACCAATGCTCAAAAAGTGTAGTTTCCATGAGAAACTAAAAGGCAGTTTTATGCAACTGTTATAATTACCGGCATGCGGGAAATACCGGTAAATAAAATGAATAACATCTTATGAAAGATGCTATTAATGGAAGACAAAAAGAATCGCCGCAAATCCTTACCGCAAGTTACGCTGCATGGAGACCACGAAGACCACGCGGTCACTTTGCATTCAGGCACTTCCGGTGTACAGTCGCCGGCATCACAATCTTCTTTTTCCATCAACGCGTCATCGCAAAATTTATCCGCCATCGGTTCTTTGAACATCCGACTGCGCTGACGCATTCCTTTTCCGCAGGTCACACTGCAGCTCGACCAGTCTGACCACGGTGAGGTCATGCAGTTTATGCTATAATAATACAACACTGAACCTATATCGAAATGTTTATCATGTAATCTTTATATATTGCCGCTATTAATACAATTGAAATCATAGCACCAAAGTTAATTTGGACTTATGCATGAATCTATGCGCAGAAGCTTGGGTCTCATGGCCAACAGTAATAAACGAAAAACTTTGGCGGGTTTCATTCAGTAAACAACGCGAAACTGATTTGCTTCCGGTGCTAAATTACACGATTGTATTAATTGGGATTCCGTACCCGCTGCTGCTATGTGGAAGTGCGTTAGCCGTGGAACTTCCCTCTCCGTCGCAGGCTTGTGCGCACATTTCCTTCTCAACAAGATTACGAGAACACCCGTTCATTGTGGCTTTAGCAGGATCTGTAAAAAGAAGAAATATCATTAAATTCCCGTTTTTATGTATACAGACTCAACCGTACATGAAAATACATATAGAAATGAAAATATCCCTATTATTACAGTTTTATTTTGTACGACACTGTCTAATCTAATGATTCTTTAAGCTTATTCGGTTCACTACATCATCATTTACAGGTATATGCAGATATTAAAATATTGTACGTAATTATTGCAAATACCAGGCGTATTGACTTGATTTTATTGTATGTCGTTGCAATGCCTTCCCAGTCTTTACAATATTTGTCGCTTCGTTGTTTGTACATTTCGCAATTCTAATCTAGTAGGTAACGAGATAATTATATAAAAAAGTTTAAATATTTTATTAGCCTACATACAGTACTGTTTGACCGCAGTCAGTGCAGTATGAAACGAGTTACGTTGTCTAAACGTCTATTACGTTGCGCATGCGCTACGTACTTCGATATGAGCGGTTTCGCATTCGCGATCCTTGTCCACAGGGTCCTGAGCAGGACGACCAGAATCCCCAGTCAGTTACCGCACACTCCACTGCAGAAGACACCGCACTTTAATGATTTGCATACACATACTGGCAGTTTGTCGTGTGAAAACTATGCGCAAGTATATTGTATAAAAGCGCGCTCCTACTTCTGTTCTCGTCGCGATCAATAGATGATCCGGTGACTTCCTCGCTAGTGGCCGCCGGGTTCGGATCATCACAGTTTTTTTCATAAATCTTCTGTTTACTGATTATAATTTTGGCTAATGGGGTCATAGGCTTTCCGCTGGGATCAAAGAAAGGCGCAGCAGGGTTTTTCGGATGTGTAGACGTGATGTTGTGGATTTGTTCGCGTGGATGCGAGGGAGCATTCTCCGACTACAGATACGCACAGTTATACACGCAAAAACAACATCTTCCAACAAGAGCATGAAAGCTATCGCATATATCTGTTTGTATATGCTTTTTTATGCGACGCATGCTTTAATCTTCGACCAATAATTTTGATGTACCTTTCTGTTTACTGCAGAGAATTGCAAACATTTACGCAACGACACTTTAGATAATTTAATTACAACTTGTATCACCCAGTTTTAATGCTTGACAGTTGCCTGCCACTTCGCCAATTGGTTCTGTTTGCCGTTCCTCCGGCATCAAAATAGTACGGTTGTAATAAACCAGCGGAATTCTCACTGATCATTTCGATATTCCAAAATACGATAAATTGCAATACTTCAGATTCGAACCGCATAATTACGTAAATCTATTCTGTACAATTAAACCTTCAAAGCAAATTCATTCTCATTCTTCCAAATTTGGGCTTTTTGTTTTTGGATTGTAAAGGAAGGATTGAAATTAGCAGACGACGTACGTATCATCAGATGCTCCAGTAATATATGGAATGCGCAGACACTGTTATTAGCATCAGCCTTTGATTTTTTAAACTCTTCATGAACTAGTAAAGCAACGTTAAGCTCTGATATAATTTACTAGGCATCCCGCAAGTAAACAACACGCATGCGGTTTGCTATAATTGCGCTAAAATCGGTTAAATTAATAAAACTGACGTATTTAGCGGCAGATCTCAAAACCAACATTCTACGAAAGCTGTTTTAAATTTGCATAACTAATAATTTTCATAACCAAAAGTGGTAATAAAGAATCCGGGACATGGTTTCGTATTTTTTAATTGGTATTACCATATAGGTCACTCCGTTATCTGTGCCGGCATCAAACGGGAACAAATCCACTTCCATCCTGTCCGTCCATGAGCAATTTTTAAGGCACAGATTTAAGGAATCGACACCCACAAGCCAATCTGGACTTGGTCCTACATTTCCACACAACATCGTCTACTCAACGTAATGAATGATGGAATAATCCGCGCACTGAGCCGGCAGTAATCGAGCGAGACTCAATTATTAAAATGATGCTATGAGGATTTACCGAACATGCTGGCCAGAGATAACAGATGATGCTTCCTGTCGGTGCGAAAAACGGCGTGGGTCTGCCCATTCAAATTAGGATACCACAAACCGCGTGCTTTAACTATTGTTCGAATGTCCTTGGTCTACAAAAACAACCCACATGTACAATATTTTAGGCTGACGGGAAAGTAGTCCACATAAAACCAAGTTACAGAATTTGTTGAATAAGTTCAAAAACTTGGGAGATAAAGACGCACTCACCTTTGTTTTTAGTTCTTTTTCCAGTTCTTGCGTTTTCCCCCATTCTGCTAACTGCTTCAAGCCTTCGCTGGCATAACCGCCAATTTCGTAAACCTTCACGTTTGCGGTATGCGTGGCTCCGATTATATCAGAAAAATGAGTAAACCATTGCGCTGCAAAGAAAAGCGTTTTCGCTGACCTTTCAAGCTTTTTCTAGTACCGTCTTTTGTACGCTTGCGTTCATTACCAATAATTTGCCAACAATAATTGAAAGTCTGGAAAGCTCTTTCAGCAAAAACATTTGGCAGACAATGTATTTTTAATAAATTAATTTATCCAATATTTATTTTCCAGAAAATTTGTGATTTGTGATATTTAAGTTGAAGTAATGGTATAATACTTGTTGGGAAGTCTTTCGGATGTGTTTGTGGTGACCATATGCCAGAAAAGAGTAGTTCGTATTTTGCGTCATCACAAGCGCAACAATCGAAAGCGGAGGTCGGCGGGACGCTGTGTTGTTGATCGGCTTGCTCTATATATACATATACCGGTAAACTCACGCATAAACAGCTATCAGTTGGGTCACATACTATAAATACCTTCTTCACATAGCTCTTTGACCAAACCGCCTAGTAAAATGGGAAAGCGCTCGTTTAAAGTACATCTAGCCAACATTTGCTGTGGCAGCCATTAAGCCAACAATACCTTCCTCCTGGTACCAAATGTTTTTGTATTCAATCACAGTAGCTCTGTAAATTGTTAGCATTTAAAAGCACCATTATTGATTTTTCGTGGAAGAATAGTATGCGCTCATTCTGCTCGAACCGTGATACTGCATGGCATGAGCATATACGCACGCGGTTCTCACAGCAGAAGCGTACCTTAGCTGAATGCAGCCTGATCCGAATTTGGGAGCGCGCCACAATACTTCCACTTCCGCTCTTGGAGTGGAAGTTCGGTTACTGACAATGTTCGAACAATGTCCCACGTAGGTCACCATGGCTTCGTTAAAGTGCTAGACGTGACGCAGCGCAAAGGAAAATCAGATGCTGTTTGATCCGGCATCACATATACAATCAACATAGGTCACACCGGTTAAGCCTACTTCAAATTTGCCGGCCGAGGAAGATCGGACGCGGCTATCCCGCGGAACTGCCCGTATCCAAAAACCAATCAGTTTCTGAACACTATATTGGGTTCGCCATCCTTGTAATGTCACTGAAATTCAAAACTTTAATAAATAGGGTGGTGCTAAATTATTAAACTGTGAAGCTTTTAAAAATGGCAAGGAAAAGGAAATCTTCGGTGCATCCAGCTGTTTCGATTTTTAACGAAAATAAGAGTTAGCTCAAGCTGTATACAGGTAGCGCCTGATCCAAATGAGTAAATCACGTTATGTAATTTATACTGATGCTAGATTAATATTGTTCACAACTTCACATTAAGCGTTTTAAAGAAAATCAAATTTGCTTTCCAAAAATCTTCTAGCATCTAAAAAATGTTGGCTGGTTTTGAAATTGAAATCCCCTTTTACCGCCGCTTTTTATTTTGCCCTTTAGTTAGCTCTTTCGGCAAAGTGGGCGAACGGCAAACACACGTTGCTTAAATGATTCGTAAAGCTTTAGAAACCAAAAGGCTGTAATTTTGTTGCGACTTCTGAGAATATAACTACCAGGTAAGTATTTTATAATGTATCTGCAACTTTGTTCTATCCTATTAACTGCAGTTTTCCTGTTTTAACAGAAGTAAAAAAAGGTGTTATACAAGCATTTTGTCGGTAACCCCGAAAGAGAAAGCATTCCGCTCCATTGAAGTACTCGATCACTACTGTAGGCACAAAATACCTTAACTACTACGTTAGTTGATTTTTACTAACTAACCAGTGTAATTGCGGCCGGGGATGTAGGTGTCTGCATTTTGTGATATCCTTATCTGAAATCCATTGTCCCCGGGTGTTTTTGGGACACCGGTTGCCGGTTTATATACTTTGCGGCACTCGTCCGACAATCCCACCACGATGGCCGTTGTTTCGATTAGTGCAAAAACAATAACAACAGCGAAAAATATCCGCCAAAGTGGCACCCTGGACGGCACTAAATTCATTTTGTAGATTAATAAATTGTATTAATATATCACAGCCGCCGGAAAGGAGCCCCACCCGATGCCGCTACAGTAAAATTGTAGCATTAACGGACAGACGGCTGGTATGCAAAAACGATCGTCTTCCTCGCTAATTTTCATGTTAATTATTTATGTCTGTGGCTTTCTCCACCGCCAGTGACGTGGCAATGAAATAGGCGTATATATAGTTCCACTTATACAATTAATCCTTCGGTATACTTGTATGTAGTCGGTGAGTTCACGTTGTATCCATATTAAAGCAGCATTTTTGGCTGCCGTTCGGACACAGAGGCATACTTTTTGACGTCGGGAACGCAGAGATTATAATATTAGATCATGCTAACGTAAGACATTTTTCATTATGCGGTTGTGGATATATGTACATGTACAGTTGTCCAGGCTGTCGACAACGGACGCCAAGAACGTGATCAGTTATTCACATTCACTTATAAAGCTCAGCGCTATGATACTTGATGTGAAAAGAATTAGGAAGCGGAAGACGAATGGATCACATCGCCTTGGCCTGAAAGGCAGCGTGGGAAGTTGGCTGGTTCTGCCACTGGTTCACGAAGCACAGTCCGTTGTGTACTTGTACGCACAGAAAACGGTACAAGTATACGCTAATAAAAGACGGCACAATGTCGTATCCCAATGCGGATTAGCACAGCTGGAGTTGTCGTATGTGTACTGTATGCGTTTACTAAGCTGCTGGTATCTCACGCGCACCGTGACCTTTGAGTTATTGTCGAAAGCAGTGAGATCGATGGTGGTTTCTGCTTATAAATCGAGTCATAATTACTGCCTTTTGCTTTTCTAAAACACTCAGTTATATTATTTTGGTGAACATAGCTAAAAGTAGAGTTAAAGGCTTAAATTAGTTTTAAATCTTAAACTGATTTTAAGTGCGCTGGACCCGTATCCATATCGCATAGAGTAGCTGCAACACAAGCTAATCAAGGTTCCAGTAATAGAACTGTAAGAAAAAAAGCTCTCAAACTTTTAACGATCATCATTCTTTTCTGACCTTGTGTTGTTTTGTTTTTCCGAGTTTACTGATTGAAAAGCTTGTAAAATAATTTGAGATTTTCAGTAAGTTGCACTTTGATACAGAATTGTGAGCTTTATCGCGAGTGATTACAAAGAATTATAATTCCTGAACCATGGAAACTTTTATTCAAATTAATTGTGTGGTTACTTCTGAATCCTTGTAAGTAAGACATTAAATGTGAGGATTTTACGTAAGCAGAAATTAGGGACTGGAATATCTGAAAGTTGTGTATCGTCTGCACTTGCTACCAAGTATGTACTATATGTGTCAATTAGTCTGACACTGCCTGATTTGTAGTTTGAAAGCGCGGTATAGCAGAATATAATATGCAATATTTCTAGATGGCAATGAAAAGCTTTTATACATGCATGGGTATAATCTATAAAATAAAATATCATTCCAACAATGAGCTGATGCACGCCACGCTATCATTTGCTTTGTTGGCGTTTTCTGTTGGGACTCGTCAAACTCTATGCGAAATGAATTTCCCAGATTACTTTACGTATCGTTTCAGCGACATTGCATCTTCTCGGGCCATTCAATCATAAACGACTATTTTTCATTCTGTCACAAAGAGAGATATAAATTTGTCTCAAAAGACCCTTTCGAAGCGAATTAAGGCGATCATGTCAAATACTTAATGTTACATCCAACACTGCATTACATCTTCACTTTATGCTTTTGCCGTAAGTGGTGAGCTCTTTTTGCGTATCTGATATCGATCCAGCTTTTATTGTGACGTTTTTTCATACTCTGCAATCGCGCATTCCTGTGCGTTGCATACTTCTGCAAATACTTATTTCATATACAGTACTTCTAACGTTTTCTCTTTTAAACGTAATTTTGGAATCCCGATTAGTCTTTTCTACGTGCACAGAAAACTTTTTGTACAGTCTTAGAGGCGGTGTAGTTCAGTATTCAAACCAATTGTGCAATGTTCTAGGATAAAGTAATATTAACAGTAATATAATAATAATAATAGTAGTAACAGTATATATAATGGCGACGTAATAAGAGTAATAGTAACAGTATATTAATGGCGACGTAATATCATTATAACATCACTCCGGACAAGTTTCGCACCATACTCGATTATGTAAGCTAAGCGAACAAAATTGTGCATGTCTTACTCTAGTATTTGAAATTAATTTTTTCGCACTCCGACTGTAGGCTTAACTGCAAGTTCCAAATACCTAACATGTCTGAATTTAAAACCATGCTGCCGGTTTTACTCTAGTACGGTTTTAATGCAAATACGCGTGCGTGCTTGATTCAATAAAGAATCATGACAATCCAAACAAAGACAGATCATGCTTCAAAATTAGTTTCCGTTTTGAGCGGAAGCTGCGGAATAAAACAGGAATCAACAAACACCAATAGTACATTTAAGGATAATCGCATGACCACTTGAGGCTGTGATAGGTCACAGCAGACGGCAGTACTGGATTTTGCACTGTGCAATACTACGGTGTTTTGACGTCGATGCATTCACAATTGCAAGTCACAGTCAGTGACAATGAGTTAATAAACCTCATCATTTATTCTGATTTGTTAATATTGTAAATGGATCCGCAAGCAGAACACTTCTTACCACATGTCGAACCCATGTTGGACATTCCACAAGGCGTTAACAGCATAATCTAACCAACCAACTCCCTTTTTCTTCTGAGCTCGGAAATACTGCATGTGTAATAAAATTACTTAGTAAAATATTTACTACTTATACGTACCGTTTTTATTTTAAATTTCCAACTTCTTCTATGTGATGCACTTGGTGATATACGTAAGACAAAATGGTGGTTTTTTCCCATATTATGGGTACCGGTATCGCGCAAACGAGTGATTGTCAAAACCCTTATAAAAAAATATGCTTGCAAAGCGTACTTGCGTACACATGCGCGAGAAAACGACCTGTTTTTCATTGTGACTTGTCTGGGCGTTCTGCAGCAATACCGGCCGGAACGTTATATACAGATACGGCCGGAACGTTATATATTAATTTAGAAATACGCTTCGTAATATTTCTCGCATTTCGAATGAAACTGGCAGTGGTCCACCAAAGCTGTAGTAGTATTTGGCTGTTTGCGCGCGTGGCTAACGGTAAAAAATCATGGAATTTAATTGTCAAAACTTTTCGACTACGAGTAGGGTCGGGATGGTAGGTTGATCCATATACGGGTAGAATTCTCTCTCGTTCCCATTCCGAGCAGGTTTCCCGCTCCCGCACTTCTTGCAAAAGCGGGACGTTTTCTGAGTTTTACCAAGCCCTGGAAAAATCGGGAATTGCTTTTTATTAATTTTAGAATAGGCGTATTATTAATTATTATTATTAATTTTATTAATAAATTGATTACGGTTTTCACTGATTTTCGCATAGGCGTGGCAGTTTTAACACGAATTTTTCCGGAGCGGACTGACACCAGTTGGCAGTCGGTTAAACTAGAATAATTACAAAGACTAGTCTTTGTACACTATTTAGTTTTTATGGTTAATGTTAAAAATCCGCCAGGGCTTGTAACAATTTAATTGCAAGGCAGAAGTTTTATTTGGTATGTTTTGGCCAAAAGTGCTACGTAGATTCAAATTCAGTTGACAGATGATACAATAATAAGACGACTAGTTATCCACAGGTGATTTTAATAACGAAGTCAGAATTCGGTGTGCAAACATTTCACCCACGTTGTAGACAATTCGCGCAACGCGGCATTCACAACATTTTCCCGCACTTTCCCTCTAATCAAAATTATTAGTGCCTTTTATATGTACTGTAAACCAACATGGTACAAAAATAAACCATTATGATTATTCGGCCTTAAATTCGTTATATATTTCTGGCAATCGCAAGATTCATTCGGTCAAATTAATCATTAAAACGGACGGAGAATCCAGTTGCAATGGGATTGTGAGCAAATTAAAGGTCATATGAGCATAGTACAAAGGTCGCAGATTCAGATCCTCGCCCTCCTACGAAATCCCACGACGAATCCATGAACAACAAAACCAGTATGGAATTTCGGATGGAACAGGAAATTGTATCAGATAGAAGTCCCCAATAAAAACAGATCGCAACCGGAAGACACGCAGAAATAGGAATACGCTGGACGAAAGATAACCCTGACCACGCATGGTCGATAGTGCAAGGAAGCCAAAAGCCCTAAACCCTAACAAAGAAAACCTCGACCCCATCAAGACCACCATCACCATCGCACATGAGATTCCACCTTAGAACACCTACGACAAAAGAATCAGCAGCCCTATCCTTCCGGAAACAAACGATCACTGGACCTAAACAATAAGAAAAATTCATCACATTCATTCAAAAAATTTACTAATAAAGACTACTTGCAGTGGTATTTATCCTCCACGACACTGCTACAAATAAACACTAGTACTGTCACTGCATTTCAAATGTGTTACCGGAAGTTTTTCTACGAAAATTTCCCACAATTTCGCGGCCTCTAATTCGTAAAGCTCATCGTCTTGAATTTCATTTTCCAGGTCGTCTACATGGAAAACATGATAAGTAGTTGTATAACGTTATGACTGCAGGCTGCAGCAACACTCTTCGATACCGATTGCAGCCTTCCAATGCAAAAGATCATCAGCAGTATCGCAAACATCGAAAATCAACTTCGTTAATTCCTGTTGGATTTTTTCCCGTCTACCTTCCACGGAGATTAGCGGAATATGAAATCTGCAATTATAAAATGCTTCTTTCCATCTCCATTTAGGGAACAAGAAAACTGATTTTTCGAATTCATCAGTAATTTAAACAATACTTTATGCAGCTGCTCTCCTTTCCACAAAAACAGTATGCGATATGGGGGTCGATTTCCACTATGAACGCTTCCGTAAATGGATTTCTCTTGCCAATACCAGCAAAGCCCTTTTGAAATCTAAACAGTGTGTATACAACACTGGATATTACACAATCAGTGACTTACGTCATTACACAGTATAAAACATGAAAATCGTCATCGTATATCGCAATTTGGCGAAGTTGAAAATAAAAAGATTACCATCCTAGCACTTCGGGCTACATCTGTCTTGGCATCTTAGCTGGAATTCAACGTTGCTTACCTGTACAATCCCAGATTTCGAAGCGTTTCTGATATGTAAACAAAAGTCTGTCTACTGATCTCGCTATAACCAACTGAATCTACACTTTCCATTACTTCAAGCTGAGTCTCAGCGTCCTGTAAGCAAAATTAGCGCATTCACAGCCGAAAAGTATGAAAATAATAACGCTTTCTGAAGCCTACTGTTAAATCGTCCAGAATGCTCGTTTCCTGATCGCTACCTCTCATTTCCAAACCCGTATTGCTCAGTCTGGTCTTCAAATTACGAAGCGCTCTTAAAAGAGGATCCTGCAAGGCGGGATGAGTCTCTACAAACTTACGACCCTACATAAACAAAAAGTGGAGCTTGCTAAATACATCATCCAAGCTCAGTGGTCTCTCCACAACAGAAGCGTTCCAAGGTGGCATCCTGATATAATTAGGACAGATTAATTCATCGAAGTCTTCCGGGATCTCTGAGTTTTCGGCTGCAGTCAATGTTGGGGAAGTGGGCTTCTTGCTCAGTCGAACAAACGGATCATCAACTGGTTCAATCGGCAATGTGGCTTCAGTGTCCTCGCTGTTGATCACAGGGACATCGGCGCCTTCTTGAAGAATTTCATCCGCCTGCACGCAACATATTCTTCCTCAATATCACGATGCTACAACAAAGTTAAGATACGTACCTTCATCCGCAAATCATGAAGATGAATGGAAATTCTACTTCTCTGCGCGACGGCCGCGCGCAAGGATTTTTCCAAGTTGTAAATCCTATCGTTGACTTCTATTGCAGAAAAACCGAGCATTTTTAAAATCTGATCACGAGGAAACCGAGGAATTTTAAAATTTGCTGGTATGCTTCGCATGACAACAAAATAAATACGCAGACTGTATATAAAGCGTATCAACATCTAAAAGCCGTGCACCAGAGTCATAAGATTTAGGAAACCAATGCAGCTACGTAGGAGTAAACCGTAACTGCAATAAACCAAAAATTTAGAAATCAAAGTGAGGTTCCTAAAGTTACCAATGTCTTCCCAATAAGCTTCTTCTACTTCAGTTTCCAGCGTCTGAATTCTGGCACATAGTATGGCAGGATTTCTAAAACAACCGCTTAAATTCTGGTGTACGTAAGAAGCCAAAACTGCATCTAGTTTTGACTTACAGAGAACGACGATATTCTAAATTCTCTTTCTGGGAAGCCGCAACGTTCTCCAGTCTCGAAACATTTTGTGGCGCTGGTAGTTTGATCTTCTTCGGATTGTCTAGCAGTTTTACAGAGGATTTTCTTTTGCTTTTCTTTTTCTTGGTCTTTTTTGTTGCTCCCGAAGGTAGCGTGGTATTCACCGTGCCAATTACTGGTATAGGATGAGCCACTGCGTTATCGGGCGCAGTCTTTGTTTTGACCACATTCGCATTCGCTACTATATGCAACCACGAAATATGTAACCAGAGAAACACAAATATTATGAGATAGAAAACACTACGTCTGCCTCACCCGATAACATCGGCAATGTCTCGAATTTGGCCGTTCGAAACCGCTTCTAAAGATCAAAATGTCTTTACGAGAATATACTATCCCTGCTAATCAAATGAGGTGCTTACCTTTTCTGATGATGGTTCTGGAAATAAGTTAGCGGAATCGGATGCAAAGTTCGCACCCAGCAATACTTCTGGGGTGACTGCATCGACAGAATTGCAAATCAGGCGACTGAAAAAGGATGAAGTGGATGCCTGCGAGCGATCGGTAGACGAAGTGCGCGAACTACTCGATCCCGGTTCCTTTGGTCCCACTTCCAGTTTTACTATCCGTTTTTTCTTGTTATCAGCTCCATTCTTCTATAAAACTTATCTATTTACCTAAAGCTTTAGACCAAATATACCATTAAATTTACCTCCTAAAAGAGAAAAATTATACAGTGGTGGAGAAAACCGTACACTATTTCTGGCACCAAACTGATAGTACGCACCGGTACCTACAGTTACAACCAGCTCCTAACATAAACCAGCTGGCACGGTGCAAGAAACGTTCTAGAACATTCAAGAAACATTTACCTAAAAGTCAAATCTGGCTCACCTTTGGCGACATGGTAATTTCGGGTTTCGGTATATCCTTATTATCAGCTGTAGAAGGCAGTAATGACGCGAAGTTGAAAGATACCGAATTATCCGACCAAGCCATCTTGCCGTCTTGTCCCACACACAAAACTTTCTTCTATAAAAAGAGACGATACACCACCGGTTGCTTTTGCATAGAATTCAACACGGTACCGTACATTCCGTAACTTACCTCATTGACCGAAGCTTTGTTGGATTCATCGTCACCACCGCTTTCATTCAACGAAGCCACTAAGAGTGCTCGTAGATCGTCTTCAGTTCTCCCCACTAGGTCATCACCAGGATCCTCTAGCAGGTCGCAGTCAAGATTAAGAAGATCCGGGTCAAACAGGTCAAAATCCAGCCTCGCTGAGTCCACAATTTTTGTGGTAGAGCATGTTTCAAATGTACCAAAACGGATTAGACGCTCCGAGAAGAAATCAGGATCAACTTCGGATTCAAATTTTACAACGCCAACGTCCTGCAATATAAAATTCATTATAACAATTACTACTTATTTATTTGGGCAATTTTAACTCTCTTACTACAGCTTCATTTAAAAAAGGTTTTTCTAGTAATCCCGTACCACTGCAGATGAGGTTAGCGTTCCGTCGTTAAGCTTTTCATCAAGACCAATGTCCCTCAGAACGGAAGCTACTTTCGGAAAATTTGTGTCCGATTCATCGGAAGAACAATGCAGTTCCATCCAATGGACATCCGGTTTCACGACAATAGCTAAACAACAACAACCTTCTGGTACTATCATATTATATGGTAATGATCTGCATTCAAACTGTGCCTCACATTTCAATTTTTTCTTTTTTATGGCACCAGATTCCCGAGAATGTTTGGAGGATTTTCTTTCCAGTTTTCCAGAGCCTAAAAGCCGATCCAACAAAATAAGTCGGGACCAAAGTATGCACAATTTTGGCTTTCCCGTGCTAACTTCGTTATGTAATTGATTACACATACAGCAAAATGCTTACTGCTGCCAATTAAATAGAGCATTGCAAGCATGTTTCATACTATGTAGATCGCACCGATATTTGCGATAATACAACCATAATTTTTTTTCCTTGTTAACCACAACAAATACAAGCTTTACTTCGAATCGTTCGTGTAGCCTGGCTGTTCTTGGAGGACGATTTAGATATTTTCGTGGCAGCACTTTTTTTTCGACCTGAAAACGCCATATTGCAGGTATTCAGTCCGAAGTCAGAAACGTCTAACGTGTTTATACGAATATAAACAAGTGAATTAGCGCCATAGAAACCGCACAATGATCTCGTCATAAGTTTCGACATATTATTATTACTTACGGTCACTTTTCCCGTGATTCTTTCTCTTCCGATCCCTCTTATCGTGGCTTTTCTCCTCATCCGAGCAGGGTTCCCAATCCTACCAAAACGTTAATGGGTTAAGAACGGCAACAACATACACCGTAAAACCGTATACACTGTATCTGGAGTTGGGCTTTGAGCTTTTTCGTCGACCATCCGCCAAGCGGTGAATCTTGACAATATCCCGAGTATCGCAGAAAACCGGCTTTCGATCAGAAGTTCGATCACCAAAACTGCTGAAATCAATTCGAGGGTTTTCCATGCATTCATAGTCATCGAAGTCTTCCAGTCTGCTTTGGCGAATATCCATATGCGGCATCGAGCGATAACCAAGTAGTCCATGACTCGAATGAACGGTATCATTATTACTCGGCGAACATCCATGAGTAATGCCTACACTGGTGGGATCCAGACCCTAGACGACATGAAATCAGCCACTGAAAATCCAACTCTAACATATAAATACTTTGAACAAACTACGGTCATCACTCACGTTCGCAAAGTCGTAAGGCGTTTGCATTAACGAAATATTATGCGCCGGTTCTGTATCGCTGAGTGCAACTCTCGGAAGTGGCTCTGGATTTGTCGGGACGTCAGTACTGATAACTAATTCCATCGGTGTTGCACAAGCAGACGCATTTTGAGCGCCGTTCCTTTGATTAAGTCCCGTTGGATAATCAGCGACTCCTTCTGTATGGACACTACAACCCACGTCCAAAGGCTGCGGTAACGTAAACAGCACGTTCATGACAACCCCGTGATCAGGATCTAGTGGGGACGGAGCTGGCGACGGGCTCTTAGGCACATAACACGGTACCGCAGTCTCATCTGGAAAAAAATAACGCTGCTAAAAACTAATACTTTTCAGTAAACGAAACAACTTACTTTCAGCTGACGGAAACACGGGTGTTTCTTCCACTGATGATGCCAATACATCAAGACGTTTAATGGAATCCAGCAGCGCAGGGACGTCAACTTTGGACAAGATCTCACTTGACGCATCCACCAGCTTCAGAGTTTCGTCCTTCGACATTACAGGTACACCGTTCCTTGGTTCAGCAACATTCACAATCCGTGCTCGATGCTCTAAACTGCCTCTCAGATCCGTGTTGAATCCTCGGGAATCACAATGTCCCGGCATACGCTCTGCATCGGTACGGAAAGGGGGGCAATATGGAGCACCACGGTTACCACCTACAAAAAATAAAATATCATGTAAAGAACAAGTACCAAAATTTATAAAAAAGTGTGATATAATTACGTAAGTATGTATTTAACATAAATACTACAATCATATCTTAAAAACGTGTGTGTAATATGTATTAAAGTCTAAAGGATGTACGTTTTACAAGCACATTCAAATGATTTAATTCCAATGCAATTTCACTGGTAATTATTACCAGCACAGCAAGAACAGCACACAAAAAGCTTCATCTACTAAGTACTGAATTAACAGATCATGGTACTAGGAAACAAACGCCAATAAAAATAGCTGGTTTAAGTCACTAACCGAAGTTTTTCCGAGCCAATATGTTGGTAACCCGTGGACTGAATGGACGAGTTCGTCCTCTTTGTCGTTGAGGCTTCTTTCTGTTAAACGATCTGTAATAGCTGGAAGCTCGTGATCCTGTCAAATACGCGGAGCTGTCGTGCACTGGCATCCGTGTGGAACCCACATCTGCAAAGCAGCAAAAACTCTTCAACATTCCCAACACTCCACCTGAGAACACTTTTCTGTTCCTACTTGAATAAGGTGGAACACCCATAGGTTCCTCTGGTGGAGGAAATTTCGGAGTGTCTAACAAAGGATATCTTGATCCAAGAGGCTGCACAGGAGGACCTCGTGGAACATTCCACAATAAGGGATTGCTGTATCGGGCAGAACTGTTTGACGGAGCGTGCGAAAAACTTGACTGGGAATTCACAGGCATAGTATCGTTTGGCAAAGGAAACCCGCAAACAGGATCGAAGGGATTGGGAGGAAACTCAGGAAACGTGCCAGCGTTCCGATGTTGAACTTGACGCTGGTGATAATGATCTCTATCCTGAGCTGATCTGCCTCGTGAAGGACGGAAGACGCGATTAGACATTCTGAAAACGCATTCGGAGCTACAGTTAAATGTGAAAAATATCTTGATGAACCATAATTCTAAGAGCTTACGCTAAGCTTTTGTTACGTATCCCAGAAATATGAAAAATTTGATACTCGTATAAATTTTCCAGTATAAACAGAAATGCATTTGTTACAGGCTTACAGCCAAGCAGACCAAATTACGAAATAGGCAATAATGCCAATAGAGACTAGAGTAGAGCAAAAAAACAAACGTTCTATGGAAGTTATGGAATGCACTTGCAGGCAGTGGCGTAACGAGCGTAATAATTTGGGGGCTACGGCCCACCCCAAACGAAAAGTTATAGCATAGAGTCTATGGGAACCAGACTTGGGCCGCCAACGACATCTCCGCTTTCCGCCCGCCCCGCTCTTACAAAAAATTTTCCGCCCCGCTCCGCCCCGCCGTAACAAAAAAATTTCCCACTTCCGCCCGCCATATCTTAATTTCCCGCCGCCCGCCCGCCAAAAATGTGAAAACTTTTTTCAGTGCTTTTCATTTTTTAATTTTTTCCCTTTGTTCTTCTTCAGAAATGTCTGCTCAAAAACCACACCAGTTGCCAGTTTTCGCGCGAAGCGCGAAGCCAACAACCAATTTCGCCGCAAAAACCGTTACAAATTCTATAAAAAATAGTAGGAATATTTCAGTAAATGATCTTAAATTTTATTTTATGCTTGATCTCCGCCCGCCTTTAGAATAGTCCCGCTCCCGCCCGCTCACATTTTTTCCTCCCCGCCCCGTACCTCCAAACTCAAAACTTCCGCCCGCTCCCGCCCTCCAAAAAACCGGGGAGGGGCGGGAATGGCGGAGAATTTTCCCGCTCCGCAAAAAGGCGGCCCAAGTCTGATGGGAACGGCCTATCCCAAAGCCAGTACTTGTGGCTCACCCCAAACCTTTGAGCTCGTTACGCCGCTGCTTGCAGGTCCTTTTTTGTCACTGTTGAACATTGATGATGGAAAACGCCTCCCGTAGTAGTAGGCACGCAGATACACTGCTCGCGAGTGCACGGTGCTTGTGGTCGAATGCAAAATTTCAAGCATAGATACAGTAGTATAGCCGCATGGCTTATGTGTTTCCTTAAACTTTTATTCACAACTAGCGGACCCCGCGCAAATTGCGCGGAGGAAATTAGCGCCCCGCGCAAATTGCGCGGAGGAAATTAGCGGCTGATAACTGCACGAACTATGGAGACCTACTCGTACAATACTACAAACGTACAGTACTTATTTTCGTTAATAATACCACGATCGTGATAAATACGTACTAAATCAGCAGTCAGTGTTAATGAACAGCGGAACAACCAAAAACACTGAGCGGTGGCACCGTTTAAAACTTTTAAAAATAAATGATTAATTTGACGACTCGGTTCACCACTTCTGCAGTGCCTTTCAATCGTACTCGTATCATTTTCGGTTCACAAAAACTTTGAAACTGTCGGTACTCGTACTACTTTTCCCTCCGTTCATACTTTTACTGCCAGGCCCAACGGTCCAATTCAGAATTACCTTCGCTATATATTAGTAATTGCTTTCCCCACACATGCTTGTTTTCAAAATATTTCTGTACTGTACATTCATTTTCGTTTTTCAAGATAGTACTTATGTGTTTCGTAAATGCTGCTACTTTAAACAGGCAGACAAAATACCAATAATTAATATGTTTTCGCGCAATGAATTTCTTTACATACAGATACAGTTTGGAATAATTTCTGAAATTCAAAAGAATTCATTGCTGGAATTTATAAGAATAATAATTTCTGGAATTTAGGTATGTTTAAAGTAACGCGTACAACTTTTCAAAGATAGCAAAATTATTCTGCAAGAAATACAATGCAAAGTGTTTTCCCACGTCGGGCCATAGGGGACGGTGAAAGGCGAAAACCGAAAAGGTAGTTTACCGGGTAAATACAGTAGTACGCAATGTAGTGCACGGGGTGAGCGAAGTGAGAACGGTCGTGAACCAAACAAAACATTTTAAAAGTTTGTAACGGAGTGGTCGCCTTTACTTTTAGCTTTCAGTTTTCCACGTCTACTTGTGGGTTGAAAGGACAAATCAGAAAACAAAAGCAAATCTAATTTTCCACTTTCGCCAATTTCAAGATTGCTGTGTACTTTTAATTTGTGTAAATTCACACATTTGTGTATTACTGTGCCACAGAATTACGAAGCACTACGCAGAATGTCTCGCATGTTGTTCCGTGCGATCCGCTGGTTCGTGTCGCCCGGCGTCACAGCTGATATGAAACTATCAAATTGGGTAACATGAGGTTTAAAACCCGAACGGCGCCATAGCTCGCAAGAAGTTTCCACGCTTACAAAAACTGAACATAACAAATATAAAATTTCCCTTTTCTTCAGTTTTTGCTTGTAACAGTTTCCATAGATTCACATTGCGAAATTATTGCAGCAGGTGCACAAATTGAGGGCTGCACGAACTATTGAGGGCAAACACACTCCGCGTGTGCCTGCCCTCAAATTTCATAACGGGAAATCGGGAATAGCTGTCAGATAGATAACTACAGATTACTGTGTGTAGTTTTTTACAGTACGTTTTATAAAAATCTGCAGAAATGACAACTGAAAACACTTTAAAGTTTAAACGTGTGCCTTTTACCGTAAATTTAAACGTAAATTAAACGAACTCGACTACGAACGGGATAATGCGTTGCAAGCTGAAGCCGTACTTCTTCGCCGTTACGGTAAAATCAGCAGACTGAGCAGAGCCACACAACCTGCGCCAGGTGGCGGCTACTCACTTAACTGTGCTCTTTAACTGGTTTCTGACGTCTCGTAGACTTTCCATGTTAGAGTTATGAATTTTTTCTCCAAATTGTTTATGTTTTTCTGGAATCTGATAACTTTGTACAAATCTACACATTCTGGGCTATCGAACGGTACATAGACATTCAAGTTTGGTTGAACGTGCCTATGACTTAGACCCTGACACACACAAATTTTGTGTACCTTCTTATTCTTTTATATAGATAGATAATACGTATTCACATCGCCAAAGTTCCTAAATATACAGTACTAGTAATCAGATCAAACATTTGTGCCAATTAACACGAGACGGAACCGTGCACAACACACTCATAATGTTTTGTCGTGCATTAGAGAATAGGGTGAACGAACGCGGTGTGCCGGTGGTGAAATTGCACTTCCCAACCACGACCAGTCGGAAAATAGAGCTACTCTTATCTCAACTTCTTATGTATTTCATGGAGCGAAAGGTTAAGGATGTTGATGTACAAGTATGAGATGATATGCTAGGATGAAGAAGAGGATCCGGAACTCGAAAGCCTGCTGAAAGAGAAGACACGAAAGGAAAGCACAAGAGATGCGTGAAGTTATACGTTACCTGTCCGACGCTAGATGGTAGCTGAAGCGTATGAGAACTCCATCAACCTGGCGCTACAGGGCATGAAGATCGAAGAGACCGAAAGGTCACGGCAAACAAGTGGGATCAAGTGGGTAACCTGTTACGTCACGAGACTATCCGAAGATGATAATGCACGTCGACGAAGTAGAGGAATGACCCCTGACAATAGGTGAAAGGTCACCCAGAGGTCAGTTTGAACAGCCTCACTTGGAAAGAGAAGACCAGAGCAAAAGCCTGAAGTTAATCAGATCGAGTAACAAGACTCTACTTTTGTTGGGATTACAACTCTTGACATTACAATGGGCGACGAGCGCCTTATATAGCCCTGGGCACCGCAAGTGCTGGCTCTTCGTACGCGCAGGTACGGGTCTGAGAACAATAGGGATTTACACGCTAGCCAATAGAAGACATCTAAGGACACGTGGACTAATCACACCGCTGCATCTCTACACGTGGACTAATGAGAACATGAGGTCAACTAGTACACTAGAACAATAGGTTGAGCTACGTCATTGAAGCGCGGTCAAGTCGAAATGGCAAGTCGCGGTCAAAGTTCTCTGCTGGAGATTTCTGAGAAGTCGAACTAGAGACTCGGGGTCAGGACTCGCGTAGAAGTTGTAGTAAAGCCTAAGCCTTAGTAGTAGGGGTAGAAGTAGTAAAGTAGTACCGATGTGTACTAAGGGACGCCAGTACACGTCACCCCCGCAAACGAGATTTCTCTGGATCGTAGTGGAACAAAAGTGAAGCTTCGCGGAACGACGTGGAACGAAGAGGAAGGAACATAGGGACATAGGAAAAAGTAACATCTGCTCCATCCGCATAGTGCGTGCAACATCTAGCACTATCGCCAAATTCCATCCCGACTATCCGGTGCCATCAAAAGGTAAGTAACAACGCTCGATCCGGTAAGTTATTAGTGAGTTTGAGTGTTATAGGTCATCGGATCCTGGAGCGTAACTGGCAATCCGGAAGTCCAAGGAAGTGGAAAGGCGGAGAGCAGGAACGCCCATGAGATCCAGGGTGTTATCGTATTAAAAAGATGTTGAAAAAGATGTTGTTTTAGCATTAAGTGCTTTTAAAGACTGATGTGAAAGTGTTATATCGTATTCGTCTAAAGGGAACAGTGTAAGCGAGCTAGTTGACTAAAACCCATATACTACGATCGACTGCTACAAATTAAAAGATAAAAAGACTAACTGCAACAATGAAAGTTGTATCTGTACTAAGCCTAAAACGTGTTAGAAAGCGAACAAAAAGACATTATACTACGAATAAAGGTTACTAATCATACTGCAGTGACAAGGAATACTAAGTTCAGACGATACGCAATGCAAAACGCTTAGACTGACATTATACTACGGGAATTAACAAAAACTGAAAATTCTAAAGTTGCTGACTCTGATAAAGTGTAAGATCTGTGCATCATTCTGTTCTACAAAGCACTCAACTGCAGTACTGCGTAAATGGACTAAAAGACACTACACTACGATAAACCACAAGGTTAAAGACTGCTGAAAATCATACTGCAAAAGTAACATCGACAAACAAAGCCAAAAAGTTCAAATTTAAAACACAACAAATTATTACTGAAGTATAGACGTTATAAAGGATTTGCTGGATCTAAAGCCGTCTAACTACGAGCATTCAACGAAAAAGAAGTTTTACTGCTACATGGACCAAAATCTGAATCAGAAGCTTATAACTGGATGGTGAGAAACACACACTGAAGCCGAAATTCTACGGTGATTCACAAAAATAAAGTTCAACCACAACATACTGCAAACGCACTGATTAAACAACTGGGGAT